GATCGGGTCGGGTCGGTCGACTTTGGCAGCTCGATTTGCTCTAACTTCTCGCACGCTTATCCGATTGACCCGAAACTTTGACCCACGCGCCTCAAATCTTTTTCTCCTCGTCTTGAGATGCGCAAATAGATGTCACCCCGCAATTAATAAATATGCTCGGAAATGGTTCGCGTGGCTCGGACATGGTTCAGACGGCTCGGAAATGTCTCGAAAATGGCTCCTCTTCCCGAACTCGAATAATGTGGACCTAAACAACACCAAAAAGACAAGAAAATACGCCGAACGACAAAATCTACAAAACGAAAGCAAAAATGCACGAAACACGATAAAATGGACCGGTCAATACTAAAACGGACCTAAAATCACTCAACTAAAACACATAAAACACACGGAAATAAACACAAAAACACAATAAACAGAGGTTTATATGTATAGGAGTAAGAATGAGGTTTTGGATGACGTGACATATTGGAAATTGATAAAGGAGGTTTGTGTAGAAGGGTTATTAGAGATGCTCTAATTCATCATATTTTGACTGAACTCCATAATTTAATGCCATAAAAAATGTACTATCCTCAATCTTCTATACTTTATTATTTATTTCATGAAAAGATTGTTGCTGATATACCATATATAAAATTGTCCTGATCGAATTAGGATCAATAATAGTGCCTATTTACTTATGCGAATTGGATAGGATAATGTGATATATCCGACATTTTTTTTCTTTTTCCAAACATCAAATTTTATAGAACAACTAAAGAAATGTACATCCCTGCAGCCAAATGGCCACAATACACCCATCAAAGCAGTCTGAAAGTGGGTACAAGTGGTGCCCATAAGAGACCTAGCAAGGCCATGACACAACAAGACCCATAAAAAACCAGAAAAACCTAAGAGAAAACTAACACAAAAACAACAAACAAAAGACAACACTAATCCAGTAAAAAGACACTAAAGACAGTCCACAAGATCATAGGCTGGAAACAAATGTAACAGTGAACAAATGTCCTTAGCAAGGACAGCAGCCTCCACATTGCATAGTGTTTGGCCTGAAAGAAGATGGAATAAATGTTTGTCTTTGACATGCAGCTCCACTCTTTGCCATCCCTGCTGTTTCCCTAGCTGAAGCCAAGTTCTGAGGTTCAAAAGTGATCCATCCACTGAATGCTCTGAGACAGCATCCCTAGATAGAGACCAAGAGTCCTTCACTTCAGAGTCCATAAAAGCAATCCCATAAATGAGCCTCAACTCAGACTGAGGATCAGGAAAATTGGCAGCTGCAAGTAGCTCCCCTATCCCTTGAACCTCTGCAGAAGTTGTGGTCTCATCCCTAGATATATTCGTTGTTTACTGTCCCTTATAGAGTCAAGAATTAGTCCGACATAGTCTGTACTGGCCCATGCCTAATCATGTATTGGCCGATTAAATTTATACCAGTCCGGAGGTGGGATTTTTTTTATCCCTCCACTACTTACAAGGTTAAAATTATATTTGTATCCCTAAAATGCCTGAGAAATGACTTAAATGCCTTTGTAAGTTGAATTATTCTCCTACCCTTTTTATTTACCCACCTCCACCAATCGAACCTCGTCATCATAACTATCACCACTCACCACACACACACACACACAAAAGTCAATGGAGCTCACTCCATGGAATATGGCAGCTTAGAACTATGACGACACTGACTCGTCAAAGCCGATCAACGCACTGATCTGCAGTCGGATCCACGACGTCAACGCCGACAAATCCTTCCACGCCTTCGACGGCGATTACTCCGTCTTCGCTGATAAGGATGCCAGTCGCACGCTCGCCAAGATGAGCAAGGACGAAATCGTCCCCAACCTCGTCGACCTCATCGAGAGGGAGGTCGGCCTGGACGACTGGGAAAAGAAATTTCGGCTAAGGCCATCTCCAGCCCTTATCTCTACTCTAGCGCGGATTTTACTCTACTCTACAGTAGAGTTGTACATTCATCTCCAGCCCTTATCTCTACATTTTACTCTACATTAAATATATTATTTTTTTATTCATTTTTTATTTCAAATAAATTGGTATAAATGTATATTTAATCTTATATAAAATGTTAATTACTCAAGTAAAAAAAAAATTGGTATATATATGTAAATTTAATTTTATAAAAAAATTTTATTACTCAAATAATAAAAATATATTTTCTTTATTTTTATTTCAAATAATTTGTTATATATATGAATATGTAATATTATATAAATGTTTATTACCCAAATAGTAATAACAAAAAATTTGTATAAAAAAATTTTTGTTCTACGATTTATGTGTTTGTAAACTTTCAATTTTAATGAAATAAACTTGTTTGAATGTGTTAAATTTCTATTCATATAGTATCATTTTAATATTAAAAAATTATAAAATAAAATTATAGTACATCAATAAATAAAGAGAACAAAATTTATTTAGCATAAAAAATACATTACACAAATTATTTAGTATAAAAAATACATTTACTAATATACATTATACAAAAATTACCAATAACAATACATAAAATAACAAAAAAAAAAATTGTAGAGTTATCTACAGTGCATCGCCACATCCAGCGATGCACTGTTCACAACTTTGGAGTAACGCCGAAATCCAGCGCAGCATTGGAGTAAATTTGGACACTACTCTGGCGATAAATCCAGTTGTGGCGCAAGACTGAAGCTGGTCTAAGTACCCTCTTGTTGACACAATTAGCAATTAGGGATTCTAAAATCGGAAATGTTCCCATATCCACAGTGGACACANCATTACACAAATTATTTAGTATAAAAAATACATTTACTAATATACATTATACAAAAATTACCAATAACAATACATAAAATAACAAAAAAAAAAATTGTAGAGTTATCTACAGTGCATCGCCACATCCAGCGATGCACTGTTCACAACTTTGGAGTAACGCCGAAATCCAGCGCAGCATTGGAGTAAATTTGGACACTACTCTGGCGATAAATCCAGTTGTGGCGCAAGACTGAAGCTGGTCTAAGTACCCTCTTGTTGACACAATTAGCAATTAGGGATTCTAAAATCGGAAATGTTCCCATATCCACAGTGGACATATTAACATGTGCCCCGTGAGTAGGGGAGCATTTCTCAAATAAAAATACTCCCACACAAAAGAAAAAATCCCTAACTTTATGGCTAATAGATGGGTTGTGGCTCAATCCATCAGTTTGAAATTGTGAGTTTTTCGAGTTTAAATGCTTATTTAGTATTTGTATGCTTTTATGTATGAATAAAAGTATTTGACATTTCTGGATTTTTTTTTTAAATAACCATCATCTTTCTATAATAGCTCTGCCTTAATAAAGGTGGAAATGAAAAGTTAAAAATGGCGACCATGGATAACCTCATCGGGACAGCATTGTACTACGAGGACAAGAGGAGGCCTACGGTCGTCCCCTCATACTCACAAATCTACGTCTAGCTTCAATTCCAATTTTGGAAATTCCATTGAGAACCTCCCCGTCTGATCCTCATCTTAATACATGCAAACATCAGTTTTCTCTCTTTTCTGTTTTTTTTTTTTGGTGACCAGATGTAAATTTTAGGAGCGGTTTTGGAGTTCACTAGTTTAAATTTGAAAATATTATCGTGGATGGATTAGAATGTTTTGGGAAAAAATCCCTTTATCTTCTTCTTTATTTGATTGGTTGTGATAAGGGATATATTTGGAATTTTCGTCAATATCATAAAACAATCAAACATCAAGAAATATCATAATATGATTGAGAACTTATACATCCTGTAAAAACATATAAAAAATAGCATCTAAAAACAATCAGAAACAAACAACTACAACTTTAATATTCTCGACATATTTAGAAACACCCTATTTATCATATGTAAAATGTCAAATATAAAAAATGTAATTCACTTAAATGGCTAAATGGATATAATGAAAACTCAAATCAGGATATGACTTAAATGGGTAGCTAGTTGGATATAAGAAAAAATCAAAACTCAAATCAGGATATGACCTTAAAGAGTAATTCAATGAATTCAAGGGAGATCCGCAAATCAACCGGCTACCGGAAAAATGGTGCAGATGTGCGTAGGTACATATCCCTGTTGTGTGGGCTGGGATCCATCCAAGAAACATGAAGGCAACAGCCTGGGCATAGCCCCGCCCATAGCCAACTTGATCACTTAAAAGTGACCTTACCAAGTTGATATAGTTCCAAAAAAATAAAAACAAAAAAATGTCAAGTTGCCTCCAAAAAAATTAATTAATTAATTAATTAATAATAATAATAATAATAATAATAATAATAATAATAATTCATTTTTTTTANTTTAGTCTTGTTTGTGCACTTTTATTTTTTCTTGTACGTTTTGGTCCTTTTTCGTAGGCCCAGAAAGAAGAACGAGTCGACTTGGCTTTGTCTCGTCCCGAGTTTTTTTAGTCTAAGGTGCGTGGTGGAATTTATTATTTTGTCCAAGACGAGAAAAAAAAGATTTGTTAAGCTTGAGGCGAGATTTCAAGACGATCAGAGAAATGTGCGATGAGTTGGAGCGAAGCAAGCCTCGAATGTTAAGCCGTGAGCCACCCAAATGAATTTTTACGAGCCGCTCGAATTCAACTTCGCGGGCTGCCCAAAACTTGAAATCCAAGCCCCCCAGACAGAGGCCCAGAGTTCGCACTCGCGAGAATCAGCTCGTGCAGCCCGCGCTGCCTACGTACGCCAATGCTACAAACACGCGACGCTTGTCAACTTTTTCGCCCAGCCTGCAGAAATCAAGGATCATCCCGCGATTTTCATTTACACACCTGCCCAGCTTTACAAACTCGCAACTTTCACGAAACTCTTGGATTACCACGCGAGTACCTTCATTAAATATACGTTTTCTTTGTGAGTGTTTTGGTGGGAGTATAAATACACTTATTTTTTTTGCATTTTGAAAACAACTTACATCTTTTCCTTTTCAAGCATTTTCTTTTAGATTTTCTTTTTCTCTCCATTTTGTAATACCATTTTTAGAACTCCAATACTCAATTTTTTATGTTTCCGTTTTTGTTTAAATTTCAAGCTTTTCACTTCGATTTTCTTCAAGCATGTAATAGAAGGGTGAGTACCTAGTTTTAGGATTTATTACTTTATATGTGCTCCGTGTAAGAAATCGAGGGGTAACGAGTGCGGGTTAGGATTTATTACTTTATATGTGCTCCGTGTAAGAAATCGAGGGGTAACGAGTGCGTGTGCGGTCTCACGCACGTGAAGCGCACCATGACAGGGTGAGTTTCCATCCCAAAACCAATTGGTGAAAGGAGGATGAGCCCACTAGACTTATAAGTTAGGTCTATTTTTCCTATATAAACGATGTGGGACAACTCATAAGTGGTATTCTAACACGCTCTCTCACTTGTGAGTCTTTCATAAGCCCAAACCTAAAACAGGCCGGGTAGAGAGTAAGCTGAAGCCCAGGGTTGGCTGGGTAGAGATAGAGACCCGGGCAAGAGTCGGCCTGGCTCTGATACTATGTAAGAAATCGGGGGGTAACGAGTGTTGTCCCACGCACGTGAAGCGAACCATGACAGAGTGAGCCCAAATGAAGTCCAAGTGAGGTTCCATCCTAAAATCAATTGGTGAAAAGAGGAGGGGCCCTAGGCTTATAAGTTAGGCTTATTTTTTCAATATAAACGATGTGGGACAATTCATAAGTGGTACTCTAACAATCTGTTTTTACTTACGAAGTTTTTCGAGGTAAATTTGGTGTCTTGCCTAGAGAATCAGGTTAAAGTTTTGATCTTTTTGTTTTTCTTGTTAATCTAAAGTAATTTAGGAGTTAATTGCGCGCTTAGAAAACTAATTTTTAATATCATAGGATCTTAGTGCTCACATGTTTCTTTGTTTTATTTTCGCTTTTGCTTGAGTACTGGAGACTACATGCTAGTATAGTTTGAATTTTTAGTTAAAGTTAGAATCTTTAGATAATTACTTTTAAGTTATTAGGTTAATTTAACTTAAAATCAAGCCCTCAAACTTGTTAGACTGTATAGAATGTTGTTTTTCATTTTTATGACTTGATGACTTGAAGGTGAAACTAACTCTGAAGAGTCTTTATTCGAGAGACACGACCCGAAGTTGTAATTACTCAGTTACAAATTAAGTGCGAAATGTACTACTTAACAGCAATATAATGGAAGTCTTAATTTTGTAGAGAACTGTATGATTAAAAAAATTATAGACAAAATATGGTAGATTCGTACCTAGTGCTGTCAACCGGTTTTACACAATTGGGTTATGAAAGGAGTTCAAGTTGATCTCTGCAAAGTGTTGGAGACTCTTTAGTTTAATGTATGGCATAGCATATTTTATTCAATCATTATGTTGTACAACGTAAATCCAAGGCTTCATAATTATTGTGGCAATTATTGATTTTCAAATTGTAGTATTTAATCAGGCCATTCCAGAATCGTCCCATATTTAATTGCAACTAGCATGTGAACACTCAATTTAACAAACATCATTACATCAGTGTAAAAAATTAATCTTAACCTTAATTAATAATCTCAGATATTTTATTAATATGTATTTGACTTCCACTCTAAGACCATTTATGTGTTCAGATGAAAATACTTTTATTTGCCAATGGATTAAACAAAATTTATTAAGAAGAACAGTGCCCTAATGTTGTCTACAAACTAATCAATAACATGAATGATAAAATGAAAATTCCAATAGAAATGTATTCATGTAGAATTTCAACAACAATTCCAATAGATATTACAATGTTATTATTTTCATTGAAATTTTTCAATAGGTTTTTACGAGAATATTCCGTTGAAGTGGATTTGTCTTTGGAATTTCCGTTGGATTTTTACAATACCAACGGTAGGTTTTTCAACAGTTGAAATATGAGTGGAAATAAAAGTTTCTTTCAACAGAAATTGCATATTGCAACGAAAATTCTTACTGTAATAAATTATTGAAAAAATGGTTATTAGAATTATTAAATTCCAACTAAAGTTCTAATGGAAAATTCATTTCAATATAATAATTTGGTTAGAATTTCCACTGCAATTATTTCAACGGAAGCTATATCATCTTAATATCTATTGAAATTTTTACTGAAATATATTAACGTTGTATTTTTCCATGGAATATGACAATTTTTTAGTAATCCATTCACAAAATGAGTATATTTAGGAAAAACAGTAATGTTGTAGTTAAGGTTATTCTTAGATAGTTATACATTTGTAATAACACAATTCTCATCTGAGATACAGTCTAATAGTTAGACGAATCAGTTCATCACACTATTTGAAGAAAACCTTCATAATTATACTATCATATCTCAATTGTCATACTTTTATATATATATATATATATATATATATATTTTAAATATGATTTTTTTAATGAAAATATATATATATTTGTAAAAAGTGTACGACAATCTAATGGATAGACCGACCTAAGATAAAACCTACCGTTTCAATAAATATGCATACTCTTGAAAATTTTCGTATTCTTATTAAAAAATATTTCATAGTAAAAGTACATATTTTTATTAAAAATATACGACAAATCATTCTCCAATAGACCATCTCATGTAACAATGTCTTCCAAAAGACAAAATTCTCGTTAATTTATAGCTCGTACCACGGCACTGCAATCTCAAAAGTCAAAATTAAATGAACGAGTCAAAGTTGCAACAATCAAACTAAATTCAAGTGTACTCGACCTTAATGCATGGAATGACCGCTTCAATTTTTGACAATGTTATGGTAAAATTAGTTATATTACGGGGAATCTTATATTAATTTTTTAAATCTTCAACGTGTATTTATTTCCTGAGCCTCGAGTCATTTCGTGTTGATGAGGATTTAGAAGTCTAATTATCACTTATAAATCTCCTTGGTACAACTAGAATGTACAGAGAATAATAGTTGATTGAGAGCAGAATTAATGTAGTAAAATTTACATTGGATAAGGTAATGAATAAAATTAGAGAAGGAAAAGGTGCGAGGATATATCATATAATTTTTTTCGAAAAATTTATCTTGTCTAAAATGTGAGATCGGAAAATGTTGTTTCTAGAAAAGGTTAAATAAATTTAAAAATATAAATGAGTATGAGACAAAATGTAATAATTAAAGTTGACATGATATAAAAATAATAATATATTAATTAATAAGATTGGTAATAAAGTATGTATGAGCTAATAGATAGTATTTATAACACGTTAGATAATTTAAATATAAACATGTAACTATATGCGCTCACAAATTTACCCTAAGTCACATTACATTTTATTTATTATTATTATTTTTAAATTAATAATACCATTAGAATGACCATATACATATTTACAATATTAATTACAGTTATAAAGAGATGTTATTGTTTATTGTTCTCTTTGGCGTTGAGATTTTTATAATGTAATTATATTTTCAAAACGATGACTTCATGAACACAAACACATACAATTCGAGTAAAAGACTCGCCTAAAAATAGTAATATCTATTTTATTAGATAAGAATAATTAATTTTATCAAATACTATTTTACAAAGTGTTAATATAATGGTTGGTCAAAACAGCTGACACATCCGTTAACATCTAATCGATTGTTTGTCAAACAAGGTTACATCTATTCAAAAATATTTATTTTATAATTCTTGTTTTATTTTATTTTGTTTTATTAATAAGGATAAAGCTCCAGCGCGCGAGGCTTCTCGCCTCCTCCCTAGAACCCTCGTGTGAAGAAGCCTCATCCACACCTCTTTTTTTCCTGCCCATGTAATATTTCTTCAACCTTTATAAACCCACCTTACACTTACTTACTCTTTCTCAGTACTACCACTTTTTCCACTAAAGAACACCCAAACAATTGAAAGGAAAACCTTACTCGAAAAATCGAACGAAAGGGAAAATTCAAACTAAACCCCTCTATTTTCTCAAAACTCCCAAAATGGCCTCTCCCGACGAGACCTCGGCTCTCGAAATCATACGCCAGCACCTTCTGGACGACCACGCCTTTGCCGAAAATTACTTTTCCTCCGCACCCCAAATCTCCAGAACCTTCAGCGATTCCAGCTCCCTCACTTCCGAAATCACACCAATCGACCCCAATAATCCCGTTTATTTCACTTTCGCCCCGATTAATTACAACAATAGCAATCCAGCCCCGAGCCTCGAGTTCCCATCCACCCTTTTCACCACCAAAATCGAGACCGACACCCTCCTTGAGTTCCGACCCGACCCGCTGCCTGCCGACCGGAGGCCCTCACTCAGCGTGGCGATTCCGCCGGCGGCGGCGGCGGGGAGGCACTACAGGGGCGTGAGGCAGCGGCCGTGGGGGAAATTTGCGGCGGAGATCCGCGACCCGAACCGGAAAGGGACTCGGGTCTGGCTGGGGACGTTCGACACGGCGGTGGAGGCGGCGAGGGCCTACGACAGGGCAGCGTTCAGACTGAGGGGCAGCAAGGCCATACTCAACTTCCCGCTCGAGATCGCGGCCCCGCGGGAAGCCAATGGAGCGGCGGCGATCGGGTGCCGGAAGAGGGGGAGGGAGAGTGGCTGCGGGGAGAGATTGGCGGCGAAGGAGGTGAAGAAGGAGGAGCGAACGGCGGAGGGCGAATTAGCGGCGGCGGGGCCGCTGACGCCGTCCAGCTGGACGGCGGTTTGGGACGGCGGAGATGGGAGGGGGATATTTGAGGTGCCGCCGCTGTCGCCGCATCCGAGCTTGGGGTATTCGAGGCTGATGGTTATCTGAATCTGAAGGTGGGGTGNACAAGAACACCTGACGGCAAAAAAGGAAAAAGTCTGGGGTGGTTTTAGCAATTTTAAGGAAGTTTTAGGTTCATGATATGATGTAGATATGAAAGAAATTGTGCTTTGTTTTGATTTGTTTATTCCTTCTTTCGTTTTATGAAATATAACCTTCTTGTTTATTATTTCCAGAGTTATTTAAAAGAAATTATTTAATGTTAATCTAATTAATAATGTGAAATTATTGAAAATGGAAGTCCATTACTCTTGTTTGGATAACTTGGTGTATTATTGTTGGGCTAATTTTGAATAATATAGTTAGTGTGATTTTTGTTTTTTTATGGAGTGTTGCAAATGAGACTAAAACGAAAGTTATGAGACATTTTAGAGAACAAATGAAAAATTTATCTTTGTTTTTTTATTAGGATAAAATCTAATTAACACGAGCATGAATTTATAAATAGTTACGAAAAAATTATACTTGGAAAAAGGATACCTCTCGGATTTAGGTATTAGGGAATAAATATTGTCGCTGTTTTGGATTTTTTATATTTCTTGACTTAATAGTATAGTATTCAAAATGACGAAAATAATCACCTATCCAGTTGATTTTTCAAAAAAAAAAAAATGAAAAATTACTAAAAGTAAATACATACCGAAGTATCATATCGTTTTCGCAATTTTGTTATTTTGTATGATTCATTAAACAAATACGAGTTAATTAGGGTGGATTATTTAAATTACATCATCAGGAAATTGGTAAATTTAATTTACCCATAGATAGTGCTCCAACAAAATTTTAGCTGGAATTGCACACAAATATACATACATTTGTGCAAAAGTAAATAGTTCCAGCGGCTAAAATTAGCTGGGGCACGACCTACGGGTGAAATGTGTAGACATAAAAATGACACAGTAAATTATTACTAAAGTCACCATATGGCTCATATTTCATACGCATCGGGATGGCCACCACATGATAGATTTCCTTATCATCAATTGAATGCCTATCTACAAGTGGCATTTTTCCAAGTAAAAGACAATGTGTAAGTCAATTTTCAATGAGATTTCGTCGACGTACTTAGGCAGTCATATCATGGTTTATCATTGGCGACCATACTCTTTTATTATATTATTATTATTATTATTATTGGATTAACATTAAACAATTTAATGATTGCCAGGTACAAATAAGTTGAAATTTTCCCTTGGACACTAGTAAATTTTTGGCGTATCTTTTCAATAAAAATAAATACTTATAAAATGCCATATTTTAATTAAATTATAATTTAAAATATACTATTTAAGTATAAAAATATGTATATTTGTTGAAATAATATAATTCTCTAACTATCAGCTATAAAGCATAATAACTACTATGTGCGCGTACAACAATAATTATATGATTCGACCTAATTATTCTGTGGGTTCACACAAATTACACAATCTTATTGTGCATGCCTATAATCTCCATGAAAATCATGTTTTAAACATTTTTTATTATTATTATTATGCCATCGTGCACGTTCATTATTCGTAATGCGATGTGTGCTTGTGACATTGTTAACTTTGTGTACATATCTGTTTGAGACTTACTTTAAACAATAAGGCTTGTTTTATTTGTGGCTAACTGTTATTAAACAAGCATAATTTTTAAATAGATGTGCATATTTTTAAATAAAATATTTTATTTTAAAAATTATATAAAAAATAATATTACTATGTAAAATAAATATATATGTACATTTGTTAAATAGTATTACAATTTACAAGTCTTATATTAAAAAATAAATAAATGATAAAAAGTAAGTCAACATGATCTAAGTTGGCGTAAAAGCATGACTTGAACTAGTCAATGAGGAGGTGGAAGAATAAATACTCCACTGTTCCTAAAAGTCAAAGCTTTTAGGTGATCAAGAGAAATTTATTTCCCTTTGTTCTGAAATTATTTCAATGTGAACGAAATATTTTTGCATGTTACCTATCTTTTGGCTATGCAGCAATTAAATTAATGGTTTATTTACTTGNTTATATTGATCTATAAAATGACGAAATATATTGAATTCGATCATACATACACCTAGGAAAATCGGCTAGATGTGAAAGATATAGAGCCACCTCTAGCCAAAATTGTTTGATACCATGTGCTGGTTTCTTAACTTTGAATCTTAAAATAAAAAATTATATATATAAAAAAAATTAAAGTACATAAAAATGAATGACTAAAAGTGTAAAAAAAATAACAAATTGCTCTAAGAATATAAAAACGTAAAAAACCCCTACAAACATTTATAATCATAATAACCCTAAAAATTTCTAAAAATATTTATAAAAAAAAAAAAAACAATCTTAACAAGCCAAAGTCTTAGCTGGTTTAATCAATTGATTTACAGTACTAAGGTTGAGAGCCATAACTTTTAAATATATAGTTAAAGACTTTCAAATTGAGATGTCAAATTTTAAAAAATAATATTAAAAAAAGTATGATGATTGATATATCAGCCTCATTAAGAAAAATGTGATTAAGTTATCGACTGTTTTATGATATTGGAAGGTGATTCACTAAAAAACTTTATAATAATTGTTGGAGGGTCACTAGGACAAGCCATTTTCAGTAAAATGATTAAATAAATACAATGATCATATTCCAGCTTATATTTGTTTTGATCGTCGTCGCCATTATTGTTCTTGGTATTGTTAAATAAGATAAAATATTGAAAATAATATTAATATCAATGTATAAGTCACTTAATTTATGTACCGGTCTTATTCATGGACAACTCATATGGGTCGTGCATGTATATAATTCACGAATTAGTTGCGTATTTGTTTTATAATCTTACGTATTATCCAGTTCAGATTATATTTTTCGGGAGTTGGAACTGAAACAATATAAATGGTTCGGTTAACACATTGAAGTTCGCAGGAATCTAAAATGAAATTTAATCCATTATTTGGGTAACCAAGCTACAAAATCCAACCGGTGCAATGACTGTTTTTGAGTTACGAATCGATAAAAAAAATTGCAACTTATATAAAAAAATATCATAAAATTTTGAGAATCGTAATACACAAATGAAGAACCGAATTATAAAAACTAAGAATAGGAACCAATTAGTGCATATAAAAAATTGCTTATTATCAACATATATAGTCTGTTCCTCAATTAATAGATATATACTAATAGAGACTTCAATTAATAGATATATGCTAATAGAAACTTAGTATTGGAACCGATTTGTGCAAAAATAATTATTTTATTATTTTTTATATACCCTTTTTTCGGTTCGGTTTTACGCAATTAATTCATATACATTTGGAATTGGAACCGGTTTTTGTACAAAAAGTAATTATTTTCTATAATACTCCGGTGAAGATGGATACCATATTTTGATTACTTGATTTTGATGAGAATATACTTTTCTGATCATTTGTAAATATAAATTCATAAAGGGATGCTTGGATACTAGAATTTTTGGTTTTGTTTGAATCTTTTGGTTTGGTAAATTTTGAAAAAAAAAGTGGTATGATTAATTGTTAGTATATATATTAAAATAATATTTAAAATAAAACAAGTTTTTTCATACATTTTTTTTTTTATTTTCATACATACACCTAACTATCTTCACATGAAAAAAAGGTTTCTTCATACATACACAACAATGGCCATTTTTCTGTGATTCATCATCTAAATACCAGCTAAAGTTATATCTCACTCATGATTTGCCAATTGCCAAGTCTTGGCTTCACTGCTCATATACTCACATTTTCCACTATTTGATTAATCTGAAAATACATTTTACAGCAAATAAAAAAACAATTTTGTCCCGACAAATAGTAATGGTATATCATGAGACGACACATAAAGCTGCAAAGAAACCTGCAGCCTGTACCGGATTTGGGTTTTCGTAATCGTGTTAAAAGATTAAAATTAATAAAAGACGAGCAAAGCATACAAGCAGCTCAAGATCGTCACCTTCTCTATCATGAAGCTGTATTATAGAAGAAAATGATCGATCATATGTTGTATAACATCCGCACCATCCGAATGCACGTTATGGTCTTTAACCTACATTTACACACACACAAAAAAGGAAAAAAAAAAAAAAAGATAGAGAAAAGAAAGAGAAAGAACACAACTAGCCCATTTTTTTTAGTTATGTTCTTATACTGTAAGTAAAATAACATGTCGAAACAGAACACGCGCACGAAATAAAAGTGTAGTGTAAATATATATATATGTGTGTGTGTGAATGTGTGAGAGAGAGAAAGAGAAAGAAAGACCTGGATAACGCTGTGGGCAGCAAACTTGAGCCGGCTACTATGAAAGCTCACATCGACTTTTTCCCACGACACACGAGAAAGGCCATTTACAAGTTCCTCTGTTACATGGGCCGGGCCATGACGAGATTTTAATTCCAAATCAGAAATATTTTAAAACGCACAAAAAATATTAAATATTCAATAAATATTAAATATTGGAGAGATTTGAAACTATGTAGGAAGAATAAACAGAAAGTTACGGACCTTCAAGCTCGTCAGGGACATTGTCCACAACTGTAGATTCTTCATGCTGATCCTTGTCATAAGCCTTGCACCGTTCTTCATACACAATGTGGGGATATTTTTCGTCAACACAATCTTCCCACTGTCAAATAATTAGAAGTCATATATATACACCCAATAGAATGAAAATAGTATAATGCAGAAAACCGATGGGGATAATATCCCTGAGATTTGAAGTTCGAACTGCCTGTAAAAATACACCAATTGTGTGATTATATTATATTTGTAGAATTATTACAGTTAACCCCTTTACATTTAAAAAATAATTAAACTTTCAAGGGTGGGTTTTTAATTTTTATCCTTATTTCAAAATCTCTATTTTCTGGAGCAAAAACCTCAAACCTACATATTCTTGGAAAAAAAAAAAAAAAAAAAGTTAAATGGAATAATCACAATGGTGAAGTGAAGATTCAACCTTGGGCAGTTCACTGATCCGTCTAATTGATGAGGTCCTCCAACCAACAATATCTAAGCAACTTGTTAGAACGACAAAAAACGAAAGTACTTAGGCTATGTTTGGTAAAACTAGCTAAAACTAGCTGATAGCTGATACGCCAACTTATAGCTTATAAGTGATTTTCGCGCTTATAGCTTATATAGCTTATGACTTATAGCTGAAAAGTTAGGTTATATGATAGAAGTGTTTGGTAAAATTAGTTAATAAGTTAGCTGAAATAAAAACTTCAACGAGCTTATTTGCAAAGCTACCCAAACGAAGCTTATTTAAATACAAGAAGCTTATAAACTAACCAAATAAGCTATATAAGCTAGCTTATTTAGTACCAAACATTCTTATATAAACTGGCTAACTAGCTATACAAAACCTAAACCGCAAGTAAATATGTTAGGTCACAAATCATGGATACGGTCATGGCCAACATTTGAATATGCCACCCTGCGCTTGAAAGATCGTAAAGCAGACCTGCATAAATGAGTTGATACACTTTTATACACTCAAACATTCGTAAAGATGCGTATTTTTATTCTGCATAAAACCCTAAGATAAGAATTTATGATACAATTGAAGTGAGAGAGAAGAAAAAACCTTACATAAAACAGCATTCTTCATTATCTTCAACCATGCGCTTGAGTAATGGAGGCTTTCCTTCATCATCGTCGGTAAGAAAAAGGTGTCTTCCCGTTCTTCTGAATATCCAATGAATTACACAACCAGCAACTTTCTCGAATGCAGTTACCCCAAAAAGAAACGGTACCTGATGTATGAGCAAATATTAAAAGATAGAATATTTCCAGAAGAAAAATCCATGTATCAAATAATATGCCGCTAAGAAAACTCAAGATTTTATAACATTATATCGAGCTCTTATAGATTCTTCCGGTTAGTTTACCACTTGCTCAGAAAGTATAGTCTGCAGCAGAAGACTTAATTGTCTTTAAAGGTTTATATTACGAATTAAGGAATATAAAAATTTGACTAATATAATCCAAATCAATTAATAGCCCTCCTCCCCTCCCTCATAAATATTTCACTAGCATCTGTAGGACATTTAATTCGTAACAAAACTGAGTCTCTTAACAACAGCTAGAACAAAACAGAGGGATTAACAAAGCTGCAGTGGCTTATAAAAATTTTGCCATGATTCTGCTAGAGAGAACCTTTTACTCCAAATAGCGATTGCTCAATAAAAAAAAAAATTAAATGAAATGCATTGTTCCTTCTTTCATTTTCTCACACACCAATCACATCTACTCAAAAAAGGAAAAATTGATACTCAATTTTTCACCTAATTCGGCGCCAAAAATGATTTCGAACATACCAACCTTCTTGACCTTATTCCATACACCGTCAAACTAATCCTTTAAGGTGTCAAAAAGCAGAAGAAAACTATCTTCTAAAGCATCCACAACAATTTATATCCCGAGTTTCATTCTGCTTAACAGAGCCAATAGTACGAGGAAAAGTGAGTACCTGCTTATTGCCCCTAGAACCAAGGTGTGGAGTGGCAACAGTAATAAAGTTTACGGGTTCAAGATTTGCTATTGTACCCTTTGACTCATCTGTACAAACGTCGGGTAATCCTTCTTGTCCAATTTCTTTATTTGAAGGTCTATATAACTTCCCAATTGCATATCTTGCCACAACTCCACCAACAGAATGCGCGATGAAAGATATTTTCTTCAGAGAAGGCTTTCTTTTGATTAATTCAAGGACCTAAAATGCAGTTCAAGGTGAAAATCAAATTATGTTGCATTCCACTTCAGATTATACATTGATTTGAGGGTGAAAAGGTAACGTAGAGTCATAGTGCAAAACAAAACCCAACCTCCTCAGCCAGTCGCTCACCCATAACATCAACACCATCCAATGTCAACTTTGATGCATTCCGTTCACTGCCTGCAATATTTATTTAATTTGTAAATAAAATAAAAATGAAGTAAAAGTAACCTCATTGATAAAAAAAGGGAACTACTGATTTTATGTCTAAATTTATTCTTGAAAAACTAATGGAATACTCACTGGTCAATCACATAAAAGAAACAAAACAGCATCACTCCCAACTAATATACTATCACATGTTCTTTAGTAAAGAGTACTATACCGCGTTAAAAAATTCCAGTGAAAATTTTGTTGACTGGAACCAGTTAAGCAATTCCGTAGCTAGAATATATCAATGAAAATAAACAAAAATAAGTTTAAACAACTTCTGAAACCTGCATTTTCTTAGGTAGCTCAGAAGTAACTATGAACTCAAATAAAATATAAACCACCAAGGTAAGGAAATGGGAGAAAGCAGAACAATACTTCTGCACATTTACATCCACGAGAGGATTAATATACATTGATTGGAAAATCCTCCACTGGCGTACATTTTCTTATCTATTCCAAGAGAATGCAATTAATGAATTTTAGTTGATAGTCATGCATGAATATGTAGAGACTTAATCAAATTCCAAGGCAAAATCGCCAATATACATTTAAATGCCGCAAAATGTCAAGATAGAATGTTTCGTTTGGACGTACGGCATATCTTAGCTATCATTCATACCATAAAGCTCCTTACAGGAAGAACTTTCGGATGAAAGTTGAAACAACGATCTATACGTAACAGAAAGAAAAGATACAACAACAAAACATGGAATTTATAAAATAAAATAAAATAAAATAAAATAAAAAAAAAGAAAGAAAGAAAGTAAATCCTACAACTTTTCTTACCAAATGAACACAAAAACCCATCACATTATATACAGAATGCACAACTTACAGTGAACGTAAACTTTATCAGGATGCCTCTGGACAAATTTCTCGGCACCATATTTCCAATCCAACGCACTGCAATAACAGAATCATCGGTAGAATAAAAATGAAATCTTTAAGAGCAAACAGTCACCTTCGAGGATTAAAAGGACAATTCTTTTGGCAAACACACACAAACACCTTCCTAAAATTTGTTTTACAACGATGTAAACTGAGGAGAAGAAATCTTTCTGATCATTGTGCCAAATCACATGATAAAAAGCAACTTTTCGTCAAAGGATTACAAGCCAAATCGCAAAGCCAGCTAAAGATTAGCACAAATGTTACTCAAATAAGTATACCAACAAAACCCGTAATTTATTTTTACTAACAGTTGCCAAGATCAGATAGAAATTTACAAGATGAACGAATCCAAAATAAATCTTTCTTGTCTTTAAGCTCAATCACATGCTGAAAAAAAAAAGCAACTTTTCGCCACGGTCTTGCAAGACAAATTGCAAAACAAGCTAAAAAATAGTACAATAATACTTAAGTATACCAACAAAATGCTTAACTTTTTTTACCAACAGTTGCCAAGATCAGGTGAAAAAAACAACAAAACGAAAGAACCCAAAATAAAGAAAAAAAAAAAACAATTCGCTGAAACGATAAAAACATTACTCTAAAAGTAAATTTACCAACAGATCACATACCTCCCAAGAATCCCGTGTACCATAACAACGAGATGATCTGCGGTAAAGGCGTCGGAATCTTTGGAGCTGTACACATCCTCACCTCCATTTCCTGTCTCCGTCGAGCAAACGGCGCCGTTTACAACAGCCCCTTCAACCATTTCCATTTTTCCGCCTTTACCTGCCTTATCTGGTTAATTGCTCTCCCTTTTGGATTCTTGAAGAAACTGAAAAAGTTCTCCAGAAAAAAAAATACAAGGGGTCGCGCTCACACATTAAAGAAAGAGTGAGTTGAGAAAACGTGGCGTGACGGTGGATATTTTGCGGGGCCAACACGGTGGCGCCTGCCGTACTGTCTCTCCAATACCTTTGCTCTACGGTTCGTGCAGTTATCTGAAAAGTTTGACCAAGAATGCTATTAGCTTAGTTGACTCCATAAAAAGTTATACTACGTCTGTTTTCAAAATAAATGTCGAACAAAAACAAAAGAATTAATAAAATCAATGTTGCTATAAAACCAACTGGTTGGTTTCCTTATGGAACCAACACCCAATTAGACAGCCCCACATGGAGCAAAATCATTGGGTGTTGGTTCCATAAGGGAACCAACTAGTTGGTTTTATAGCAACATTGAAAATCAAATTATGAAATTTTTTAAGATATTTCATATAAAATTGGAATGACAATTTGCAGTGATAAATAAATAATTGAAAACAGAAAACTAAAAGTCTAACTAGAACTACAATTAAAACGGAACAGTAGTACAGTACCTATAATATTTATAAATCGTGACGTTGGAAAGAACTTTATTATAGTAAACCATGTTATTTATTTATTTATTTTGTGAGAGAACGGAAATATTGCTTTATGGAATAATCTGGCCTTTTGCTATCTATTTTAATTGGATATTTTGGAACTGTTGTGATTTGAAAATGAGCTAGCTCGTGCATTTGCTGCAAAATTTGGTATATGTTGATGTTCCGACTACTCCATGATGAAACTGGTATGTTTTTTTTATCAGCAATAACATAAATTTGTATGGAATATTGCTAGCTGTCAAATATGGCTTCATGGGAGACTATTGCCTACATTAACAATTATGAGCACGCTGGACTGCCATGGTAGATGACCAATATCTAATCTCTGCTCATTTCAGTTTCTAAAAATGTTACCATCTTTCGATTTTTTTTTTTTTTTTTTTTTTTTTTTTTTTTTTTTTTTTTTGGCGGTGAGAAGAGTCTAAATTATAGGGATCGAACTCTATCATACCACCTTATGTCTTATAAGGAGAGAGAGAGATATCACTTGAGCTACATATACACCTCAAATTGAAAAACACTGTCACACAGTAGAGGAACCAAGATTTTGTTTTTTAACATAAACAAAATATCAATAAAGACAGACGATGATTTAAAATCAAACGCCAGTCATATGTTGTTTCTCTTCTATAAACTAGCATCACAAAATTTCAACATTTCAACATAGTTCACCACACTACTCCAAGACAATGCAGTTAATTGTGAGACATGAAATGGAGAAAAGGAGAAGAAAGAATAAAATCTGGATGAATTATACGTTATGCTTCTTCCTGATTTTGCCCTTGCCGTGATGCTTCCTTTTGGCCAATTTGATCTTCTTCTTCAGCTTCTTCCCAATAGGCTTCAAAAATTTGGAGCTCTCGTTGCCATCAGCCATCTCCACATCTGCTAATAAGATAGGTCAAGATCGACACTATTTTTACACAACAGACGTAAACATGTATATCTATGCCACAAAATGCCAAATTCACGGGTAAAACATACGTTGAATAATGCAATTGTGATCGCTTAATTACTCTGATAAACAAATTTGATCATGTGAACAAGAATATTATTTCAAAATAAAATCTTGTGTTTAAAAGAACATAAAGAAAGCCTTGCACTTAAAAAGAACTCATGTATAGCGCCATTATTCATTGCATTTAAACATCTTGCCAAAGATTGTGAAGCTGACGAACACTATCTTCCACTTGTTTGTAAGATATTGATAAAGCAAAAGAAGGAATCAATGCTTTCAATTTCCAAAGTTGATAAAGGTTACGTATTTCTCTTTTTCCTTTTCTTTTTTATGAAACACGATTTTTATGACACGAAATCACGAATGCATAACATTCCAAGATCACAATTTTGACACACCAAGCTTCCGAAAAGTTTGCTTCCCTAATTATATAGCAGCAAAGATATACTAAATATGCAAAATAAAGGGGCCACTAAAGTTTGTAAATCAAATTTAACCAAATGCAAATACTTTCTGAAATGAAAACTTTGAAAGACACTAAAGCTTTCCAGAGCTTAGTAGCATAGAAACAACTAAAACCCATAGCCACCTCTCTAAAATCTAAGTACATCGTCAAGCAAAAAATGATGAAAATGAAACATTGCACAAAAGACTTTGTACTGAAAAGAAAGAGGATTGAGCTCAGGATTTACATTAGTGGCAATATATTGGTAGTTCTTCTGTTCTTTTCTCACAAATATGCATACTTATAAGTATGATATTTGATAGTAAAGTATGTATTCTTGTTTACATGGGTTGATAGCTAAAAATCGAAATAATCGATAGCACGAATCCTTAGAATTTGAGAAGCGAGAAGCAAGATATAATGAATCAAACCTAAGCCCTCGGAGCCAAAAAGAGATGCGGAGGCGATGTCCATGTTCTTGGAGGGCGGCGGCCTGACCGGAAGCTTGGGAGCGGCGAGGGCGGCCTCCTGGGCGGCAAGCTTGGCGGCCTCTTTCTTGTCGTAAATTGGCTCAACGAGCTCTCTCCTCGCGGCCCTTAACCGCTTCTCTCTCTTCGACCTCAATGATTTCGCCATTGTTTTTCTCCGTGAACAGAGAGAAGCTTTTGCCGTTTGAGATGAGGACGAATGTTGCTAGGGTTTTGTCAGGTTGAGAGGGTGGGGCTTTTTTCTTAGGTTGAATGGACGTAGATACCCCTGGCTGACCCACATCACGGACACAGGCTGAATATATTACTGGACCTTCAGGATAGATGATTCATGAGGGCCCAAATTACAAGCCCACGAGATGAGTCCTTATCAGGTTAGCCCAACAAGCAGTGGCCTCATCAATCAAGACATTATTTTATTTTTTCACTACTGCTCCCATTAGAAATAAATTTTATGACCTTGGATTTTGCTTGAATTCAACTGAATTTCCAATAAAATATTTTTGTTAAATAAGGTTTTTCTCATTTTTGACTTAAAATTAGTTATACTTCTATTTGAATGGCACATCAAAGGCTTCGAGCTCCCGAGCTCGTGAAATATAGACTTGAGTTTAGGTTTGAGGTTTGAGGCGTTCTTCGAGATTCTTATGTATGTAGCTCTGTGGCTAATCTCAGTTTAATGATTTGAGTGAACATTATTGAGTACATATCAATTTCAAGAATTATTATTGCTCTTCAATGTCCCATTGATTGTGAAGATATTGTTTGTCATTTTGCTAGGGACACAAGACAAGATTACTAAATGGGGTGTCTATTCATTGATTAAATCATGGATGTGGGACTTAATAATGGTTTGTTGTTAATGGCTGTACTGAAATTTCAGCACAACGTACAACACGTGGGAGAAAATGGGTCTGTGACTGTGAAGCATATGCCTTCTGATATAGGGCTTTGACTTTGGGGTGGGTTTATATTGGTTAATAACATTAACATCCCTTTTGGCCCATGGTTGAAAATGCAGTCATGAATGAGAAAAGGGGACAGGTGGCTAATTGATTTGCTATATTTAAAGAAATGTTAGATTTAATTAACTTCTTGATTTATTATAAAATATATTTTGAATAATTCAAAATCGTAAATATGAACACTCAAATTTTCCTTAGAAAATTAATTCATTATCATTTTTCTTGCAAATTATTGTTCGATTTTGTGTATTATATTTACTATTTGCAATATTCAATAAAACTAGTTTCATTTCAATATTAAATTTGTTACATTTTTTCCAAATCAGATGGTTTTCTGAGCATGGTTCTAGAACATTAATGGTTAATGACATTAGGTTGTAACGTTTAACTATGGTACATTAGCATATTTTAACCACAATCCATAGTCTCAATGAATTCATTAACCTCCCTAAATACAATGCAAACTATGGTGTAAAAAATTGGCTTTTAACCACGGTTGTTGATGAATCGTGATTAATTTAACCATTTTTTTTTTTATTTTTTTTTTTTTTTTGCGAAATCATGATTATATATTGATTGTGTATATTATACTATTATTATGGACCATAATATTAATACAAACACTAGTCTTTTTTATATTAGTTTGAGGCAAATCAGATTGGTTATATCTTTTTGCCAAATTTAGCCCCACCCTAAGTCCTATGATCCAAAAATCCAAATATATACAACTATATTTCACCTTTTGTTCCCTCCTTTTGACCAATCCATCATTGGCTTGAAATTTCCTTTTCAAGCAAGAAGCTCACAACCCATTTTGATAAACAAGTCAAAGAATTTTGGAGCTTTCGTAAAGCTCTGGAAAAAAGAGATGAAGCTTCTTAAGTTCTCATCCATTTATTGGATGATTTCCTCGTTAAATTTTTATCATTGGATTACACACATTTAAATGCTGATTTGAGTGTTAAAAAAAGGATTGGAACGTATTAATTTAACATTAAAAAAATCTAGTGAGTTTAAAAAACTTACTAGAAGGATTGAATTTTTCCAAATTATAACCACCTTTTTAGCCAAATTTGTGACCTATATACTTTCGTAGTTATTTATTTTGTTGGAGTATTTGAGACTTTCTTAATACTATTGGCGGAGCTAGAATTTTGAAATACCTGGGGCTAATGAAATTGCGACCTCCGATTTTTTTTAGTTTCAAACTCGGCAATTATAGTATCATTGCTAATCTTTTCGACTAACTCCCTTTCAATGTAAATAGTCATGGAATCCGCCAGAAACTCCTCTTCCATCTTATTACGAAGAACAGTCTTGACAAGTTTCATAGCCGAAAACGCTCGCTCTGTAGTTGCCGTAGACACAGGAAGAGTCAAAACAAGACGAATTAACCTGAAAAATAAATTAAATAAATTAAATCGAATAAATATACTAGAACTTAATTTACAAAAATGACTTAAAGACAATTTCGGTTGTACCTGTCAATCAAGTTGTAGATTTTTGACTTATTTGTCTCAACTAATCTTCGACATAATTCAGAAATAGTAGATAAGTCTTGAAATCTCTCATTAGTAATGACATCAAGCTCATAATGGTTCAATTGCAATCTTAAGTGGAGCAAATCTTGACCATCAAAATCAAAAGGATAGAAGCGTTCGGCAAGACGATGAATATGATCCGCATTGAACAATTTAAAGCCTTCTTTCGGTTCCAAGGCACAACTAAGCTTAAGAAGTTCAACTGCTTCATCCTTGAATCTACTATTTATCTCTTCAATTTGAAAATCTATTGCGGAGTTGAATACATCAAAATGATAATGATGCTCAACTGTGATTGAATCACTTTGATGACTTGAACGGCGTGTAGCAGATTTATAGAGAGCTTCCATTTGAGGCACCTCAATATCATACTTGACACAAACATCCTTCACAATTTGAAGGTGGGTACCAAAACCTTCTTCTCTCAACGTTAGAAGTAACGTTTTAGTAGATGAAATATTGTCCATTGCACTTAAAATATCTAAAGACTTCTCTTGCAATGCCCGACAAAGTAAATTTGTTATTCCCATTATCTTTTGCATCAAGTATAATATGAATATAAAATCAAAAGACTTCATTGCAATCAAAAAACCACTCGCTTCACCTCGAATGGAATTAGAAGATCCCTCATCCACCATTTTCTCCAACACAACAATCACGGAGCTATACATATCTATCATACTACTAAGTGAGTCAAAATTAGAACTCCACCGAGTTTTTCCTGGCTTGAGTAAATTCCCAACTTGATTACTCCCTCTACCTGTCTCACGCTGCCCCATTGCTATCTCCAATGCAATTTTATTTTTTTGAGCAACTTGCAAATCACAATGGCGTTTGGGAGAGGCATTTATAAGATTACCGATAGCATTCAATTTTGAAAAAAATAACCAAATGGATACCTCTTTTTCAGCAGCTGCAACCAATGCTAGTTGAAGTCGATGCGCGAAACAATGCACGTAATATGCACTCGGACAATCTTTCAAGAATAGAGCCTGCAATCCACCCCACGAGCCACGCATATTGCTAGCACCATCATAACCTTGTCCCCGCATATTTTGAATTTGCAAATCATATCGATTTAGAGCATCTGATATTTCTTTCTTTAGCGTCGCGGCGGTTGTATCAAGGACATGAACAATAGCAAAAAAACGTTCTCTTATAAAGCCATCAATATCGACAAACCTCAACACAATCGCCATTTGCTCTCTGTTGGAGTTATCTCTCGCTTCATCCACTAAAATGCAGAATTTCGCGGCTCCAACTTCCTCACGAATTTTGGATCTCACTTGGTGAGCAAGAATATTTAGAACATCTTTTTGAATTTCTGGAGAAGTATACTTCGCATTTCTTGGAGCATTCTCTAAGACTACGTCTCCAATGCTATCATTCATTCTTCCCATGAACTTTATCATTTCGATAAAATTTCCACGATTAGTTGATAATGTAGATTCATCATGTCCTCTGAATGCACATGCTTGCAAAGTGAGCCATCGGATGCTTTCAATAGTTGCTGTTAGACGCAATCTATTCTTTTGTTTCTCCTCTAAAGTTTGTGCATTGATTATCTTATCAACATGATGAGGCACATTCATCAAACAATCAATAGAGGCTGCAGCATTATTATGTGATGAAGTAGGGCCTCCAACATGTTGTAAGAAGGAGCATCTGTCGCCGTCATTAACTCGCTTCCAATACTTGAATCCCTCTGTAGTGAATGGTGAATCTCGAGCTTGTTTATTTTCAAATAAGAAACACGGGAAGCAAAATGCAGCATCCCTAGAAGGAGAGTACTCTAACCAAGTAAACTTCTTGAACCAATTGCTTTGAAATCTCCGATTTTGAGCTCCAAATGGCGTCAGTGGATATTCTTTCTTGATAGGTTGATACGGTCCCATCTTAATATAAGCTCGTCTAATTTCATCTCTTTGATTGACGGGACATTTCCATATTGGAGTACGCAATGCCGGGTCACGTTCAAGAGAGCTCATATCAATAGAGGCGGCAACATCATCATTAGAAGGACGATCTCCGCTTGTCGACGTATGCTCTTTTGGCTTAAAGAACGAATTGATAGTTTTTCTTTTCTTCGTTCCTTGACCCTCCATTATAATTAAAACCTATCAAGTTAACAAAAAATAGTAAATTACTTAAGCATTTAGGTGATAGAAGCAAACTAAAAAAAATAATAAAATAAAAAAAGGTAATCAAGAATGTATTGTGGTTTTTTGTACACAATCATATTATGAATGCCAAGCATCCACACCTTTATAAGAATGAGTACATGATCAACTAGTATTAACAAGTACAATTAAGCTAAAAACATGTTCCCAAATTGGTATAAATTTTAATATAAATTAGATAATGCAAGTTTAATTTTACCTGGGGCTGGAGCCCACCCTAGCCCATGGGTGGCTCCGCCCCCACAGACCACATTGTGGAGATATCCAGTTGGAATAATTAATGATGTACTTATTATTATTTTTAGCTTAGATGTGTTGCTTTTAATCTCATCATGATTTATACATTGTATTGTGAAATTGTTTGTTTATGATAACTTTCACAAGACTATTATAGGATAAAGAAGAAAAAACAATTGTAACAATTTGACTTTGTGTTGTGACAAATTTGTTACTTTAAGCTTATCATCTTAATTATTGTATTTTGTATAATAAATTCAAAACTTGCAAATAGAGTCACATGCACAAACAGACATACCATTGTAATTTAATTACACACATTAATATTAAAAAAATTCATGTCATTTTCATGATGCACCGACATATATACACAAACATATAGTAAATAGTATATATGTATATGATAAGCATATGGTAAGTATGTTGATTTCAACAAAAGTCACACTTGGTTTTGAATACTAATACGTATAGTAATACATAGGAACTCATATTTAATTATTTTACCAACAATGACTTTTTGAAAATTTAAAATTAATGTTATATTTTATTTGTACTATTTAAGATTTTAAAAGTTTTGAGATATTTTAATATCATACAACTTTTCCGAAACTTTCAACAATTCCATTATATTTTCTCCATTATATTTTCATTTAAAGTGACATCCGTAATTATGATTACAATATTTTTTTCTAATTCCAATATATTAGATACATCATACACTGCCTCAATTTGAAATCAGCCCGTTTAAGCTCGAGAAAGCTCCACTCGACTTATTTAAAAAACCGTAAATCTTAAACTATTTGTTCACAATGTCCCCAGAATAAGTTTGATTCGACTATTTCCTTTTAAAACCCATAAAAAAAATTGATGTTCGCGAATATGCTCGGTTCAACTCATTTAATTAACGAGTTCAAATAATTATCTGAGTTTGGTTAGTTTAAGCAAACAAACGAGCCAAACTCAAATCTTCACGAGCTGAGTCGAACTTTGTTCGCAAACTGTTTGGTTCGTTTAACTGCTCAACTGGTCATTACAAACAAAATGGTTTTGGTTTGGGTCAAGTCTAAAAAAACCAAGTAATTCCCTCTAAAACAAAAATGAGCTCTGTCCATATCAAATTCAAACATAAACCTGAACATAAACCTCAGCAAAATAATATTTTTACCACACACACTCACACACAGTTGTCTTTTCTGAGACTCCTCTTCATCTCTCTCTCTTCACTCTCCACAAACAGACACAGAGTAAGATTTGCCTGCACCAAAGTCCTGAAAGTCTTCGTTTTTCACAGTCCCACTCAACACCACTCCAAATGGGACTTTCTGTACACTTCTGAAAAAACCCCATTTCATATGAAGAGCTCAAGATCTTGTTTTTTCTTTTCAGTTTCTACCAAAATCCCATAAAGCTACAGTCTTTATCGGAAATCAAGAATCCCAATGAAACAATGGAGCACAGCAGACACAGACTCATACTAATCATCGTCCTAACCTCGTTATCAGCCTCAGTTCTTTTTTCCATCTTACTCTTTTGTTTCCTGAGAAGAAAAACAAGAAATCTGCCTACAGACAGAGAGGCCGCGTTTCGGTGTAAAGAAGAAGAGCCGGCGAGCAATGGGGATCTGATTAAATTTCAGGGCGGCGAGAGTCTGAGCGTTCAGGTGATTCTAGAAGCGCCCGGTGAGGTTATTGGGAAATCTAGCTACGGGACGCTGTATAGGGCTTGTTTGGATGATTCGAATTCGCTTGCTTTGCTTAGGTTCTTGAGGCCCACTTGCACGCTGAGGGTAAAGGAGCTGGTGCCGATTGTGGAGCTGTTTGGGTCCGTAAGGCATCCGAATTTGGTGCCTTTGAACGCTTTTTATGCGGGGTCTCGAGGGGAAAAACTGATGGTTCATCCCTTTTATGGAAATGGGAATTTGGCTCAGTTTATCAGAGGTAATAAAGCTGATTTTGGTATGAAAGATTGCTTTTTCTGGCTTTCATGATAAATTTTCCTGCCATTGGGAAGACAATAGAGGTTTATTTAACTGTTGAAAGTTACTATTCTTGTCTTTATAATTAATTGTTTAGGACACAAATTGTTGAGTGAATCTTGGGGAAATGTTTGTTGTCAATCTTGATTCACGGCTTCTAGATACAAATTCCGTTTGTGCATTGATTTGATTCTTTGGTGATTCTAGAATGCATTGATCTTCTGCTCTGTTTGCTTCTTAATCGTTGATGTCGTTTTCTCATGTTCGTTTGGTTGTTCGTGTGAAGGACTAGCTAGCTAGACATGATTAAAGCATCAATCATTTGCAACTTGTGTTAGTTTATCGCTTTAGTTAACCGATTCCCTTAACTAGCTTTTTTGTCATTAACTGAACTTGTCTAGTACTAGGCTGCCATCCGCTCTCTTACCAATTCCAAAAATCTTCTTCATCTGTAGTTTGTTAATTGTAATTCCCTTATAAGCTCTCGCATATACTTCACCACATATCAAATCATATAGCACACGCGACAAAATACGCACCCAATATACCGAACATAACTAACACGTGTTAAATGCAAACGCCAGATGGCAACCCTGAGGCCCACAAATGGCCCACCATTTGCAGAATCGCGCGTGGCATTGCGCGTGGGGTCCATCACCTCCACACGTTCTTCGATAAGCCCATAATCCACGGCAATCTCAAGTCAAAGAATATTCTCCTCGATCGCCACCTCAGCCCTTTTTTGTCCGATTACGGGCTTCACCTTCTCGTGAACCCAACTTCGGGCCAGCAGATGCTCGAGGCCTCATCCTCTGAGGGGTACAAAGCTCCCGAGCTTATCAAGATGAGAGAAGCTTGCAAGGAGAGTGATGTGTACTCCTTAGGGGTGATTTTGCTTGAACTTTTGACGGGTAAAGAGGCAGTCGATGGTAGCCCAACTCCTGATCGAGATTTTCATCTGCCGAGTGCTGTGAGGAGCGCGATTCTTGATGACCGTATTGCAGAATTGTACAGCTCGGAAATTCTTGAAGGGCTGAGTGAGGATCGGAGGGCGGCCGTTGAGGATGGTGTTTTGAGATACTTCCAGCTGGCGATGGCTTGCTGTTCGCCTTCCCGCGTGCTGAGGCCCGACATAAAGCAGGTTCTCGACAGGCTTGAGGAAATTTGCAAGTAAAAAGATCCTCATTATCGTTTTTTTTTTTTATTATTATTATTATTATGAAATTCGTTGCGAAAAAAGGCTTGTGTCGAGTAGAAATTCGTAAATTTTTGGAATATTTTTTTGCTTGGATCTTGAAGTTAGTGGTGGTTGGAGAATGATACTACTGGGTTTTTTAGATAGTTGCAGTAATGGTAGCAAAAAGTTGAATGTATATTATGTGAGGTGTATGGATATTGTTTGTGCTGGAATTAGCTTAATAAGTGACTCCTGATGAAATAGGCTGACTAGTTATGGCAATTATTGAAAAGAAAAAGGGAAAATATAGATTCAGGCAGAGAGAAGGAGAAAGATTCATTAATCACACTTGCAGCTCATAACATTCTCAACTCTAACAATATTTGATTGGACATTACATTTTAAGTACATAAGTCTGACCAACTCTTGGTGTGTGTATGTGTGTGTGTTGTGTATTGAAGAAGCTGTTGTATAACTATTAACTAATCTATCTATTTCATACACTTGAAGCATGTAAGACTGATGCTTCATTTCAAAACTAAGAAGAAAATTCATAAAGCAAGAAAAAAAAGAACCCCATAAATACAAGAAAAAAAAATCATGTTTGTTTTCCAGATTTCCACTCTATAATGGCAGATAGAAGTGTGTAATTCGGCGTAAGGTATTTGTGTGGCAATGGTAATCCAGTCACGGGCGAAATATCTTTCTCCTTAAGCCATGTCTCTATTGCCCAGCGATCGTAAGTATACCCATCCCCAGCAACACACGGGTCATCCATTACCTCCTGCAAATTCACGCAAAAAGCTTACATAGCCATTCCTAAATCAAAGTGATCGGTTTTTCACTAACACCGAGCAAATGAAAAAAGCAATTGAATCGAAGTTCGTTCGGGTAAAGAAAAAACTCATCACCTAGAAATTTGATTGCTCGCAAGCTAAAGTTTTCAGAAAGTAAAAAAAACTACGATTTACCATATCTTAGAACTTTTTTTTTTCTGTCACCAATCTGCTCACATGTTTAATTTCACACCATTGATTGCTCACTCGCTCCCATTTCTCACACAGCCAAACATATTCGACCATTATTAGACTTTTTCATTTCCAGATAAACAATATTATCAGGCTTTTATCTTTAGATCCAGTCTGATTATCCTCAGAAAATGTTTCCGATCCCCCCCGAAATTGTTTTTTAATTCTTCACCCGAAAGCTAAACGTATCCCACATTGAAATCATACAAAAGGCAGTCCCACTGAAAAACATGTTCGTGTATAAACTTATCCAATTCATACTCAAAATCTAACTCAACTTTAACCCAACTCCACTATTTCCAATATCATTAATACAGTAAAATAACATCAAACAATCATTCTTATACATCACATCAATTTTAATTCACTATTTATCCACTCACATAATTTTAACTAACCATCATTTCACATCATATCTCTCCCACTTTTACATCAAATCAACTTAATTATTTTATTTTCAATATTATTTTAATATAACCTCAAAATCCCACTAACAACTAACCAAACCAATTTTTCAAAATTAACTCTGGTTAATAAAAAAAAAAAACTCATTTTGAACGAATATATTTGTATACAAACATGCCACACACACACATACAAAGTTAACACAAAAAATACCTTGACAATCGGACATACGAAGTGTTTAGGAGGCGGCTGAAAAACCGACCCCAAATCCCGAGCCTTCTCCGCAAACTCTCTCAACCTCTCCAAAACCGGCAAAACCTCTTCCCTTAACTCCGGCCTATCCCTCTGCCTCATCTCTGTGCACTTCAACCCCAACACCACCAACTCTCTCGTCTCCTCCTCCGGCCACCGGCCGCCTTCCCAGTCGAGCACCTCCGTCAAACAGCCCTCTTCCACCGCACTCTCCACCGCGTGAGTCAGAGCAATCGCCGGTTTTCCGGTCAGCAGCTGCAAAACAACCATTCCAAACGCATACACATCGGATTTAGGCGAAATTACGCCTGTTCTCTGGTATTCAGGGTCGATATAGCACAATGTGCCGACTAAGCCATTTTCGCTGTAAGTGGCGGGAAGTGAGAGTGGGTCCCGGCTGACCATTGTGGAGAGGCCCACGTCACCGATTTTGCTGACGAGGTTTCGGTCGAGTAATATGTTCGCGGGCTTGAGGTCTCGGTGGATGATGGATTTGGGCTTGGCCTCGTGGAGGAAGACGAGTGCAGAGGCCACCTCGTGGGCGATTCGAAAGCGGTCGGGCCATGGGAGTGGGGGAGTGGAGTTCTTCCGGAAGATTCTGTCCTCGAGGCTGCCGTTTTCCATGAACTCGTACACGAGGCAGCTGTGTTCGGGGCAGGCGCCGAGGAGGATTAGAAGGTGCGGGTGGCGGATCTTGCTCAAGATCTCCAGCTGTAAATCGGAGAAAAGAGAGAGTATTTTAAAAATACTGAATATCTGAAATGGGTTATTGCTGACAAAAAAAATGCCCTTATTATGATCCATCTCGATGAAAATGGCCTATAGTGAAATGGGTTTTCCGTCTTATTATGGAAAGATCTTTTCTTTGCTTACGACGATGCTAACAGTTTCATGAAATCGGAGGGTCCTACACACGGTTCTAAATTTTACCTAGATGAAGATGATTATAGTTGATATTTTTCAAATAGTAAAATGAGATATTTTTTTCCTAGCTAAAAGGTGAAATGTGACATTGTGTTTAGTGTTTGCCAAAAGTTTTAGGGGGTGTATTCAATTAAGATTTCTAAGGACTTTTTAAGACTTTAGAAATCCTAGTGTATTCAATTTAGATTTGTTGAGACTTTTTAAGACTTTTAAAAGTCTTTGGGGTATTCAATTCAGATTTTAAAGTCTTACAAAATCCTGAGGTATTTAACGTATTTGAGACTAGGATTTGTTAAGACTTTTAAGATTTTGTGAGATTTCTAAACAAAAATCTTATACGAAATCCCATCTCCAGACTCAAGATTTCACAGAATTCCTCTAAAATCTGAAAATCTTAAAAAATCTCAAAATGTCACTTAAAATCCCAATTGAAGCTACGATTATAATGTGGATCCTCTCTCTCTCTCTCTCTCTCTCTCTCTCAAGCATACCTCCTGCCGAAACTGCTTGTTCCTGCTAGCTTCCTTGGCATGCAGAATTTTTGCAGCAGCTGTCGTATGCTGAAAGCTGCATTTGTACACAGTCCCATACGCTCCCATCCCGATTTTAAGACTATCAGAAAAGGATGACGTGGCGGACACAATTTCTTTCCACGTAAATGGACGGTACTGATTGAAACTGCCATTCAAGGCACTCTCGAGTTTTTCTTTCTCATTGGTCTCACGGGACGCTCTCATCTCAGCTTCTTTTCTTTCTGCAGCTTCTCTTTCGGCACATTCCTTGATGAATTCGGCTTCCTTTTTGGCATCTTCGTATCTCCTTTTTTCCTGTCTGGCCAGCTCTTTCGCTTCTTCCTCCTTTAAGCTTATCTCATTGAGATTAATTTCCTCCTCCACACGGCGTTTTTCGAGTTCGCTAAGCTGAGCGATAACAAGAAAGTGAAAATATAACGTTAAAAATAAATGTAAATAACGAAATTAGCACTGAGGTTCGGTCTACTTATGAAAAAAGTCTAGTTATATTTCAAAAGAAGTACCTCACCATAGTTGTTATAAATAAAAATAACCACTCGAGGTTTGTATTAATTCAGAATATAACATATGGCTCCCTCTTGAGAGTGCAATTTTATTATATAGAGAGAGATATCGATGTAATACTTTTGAAGGCTTTTGTAATTAGATTGTACCTCAAATGGTGTTTTTTCCATAATCAAGACTATAATATAATAGCAATCTAGCAAGCACACAAAATATACCTTCCTAGAGGCTTCAATTGCCTCGCCTTGGGCCACTGCATACATTCCTCGAATATGTGTGAGTTCAGTTCTCAATTTTTCGAGCTCAAGATTGATATTAGCCTGCAGGAACAATTAAAATGTTAAAACAAAAGGCAAAAAATGTTACTCTGCAGGACTTCCTCAAATGCTTGATGTGAGAGAAATGATTGAGACTTTGATCGGCGAAATAGCAAAAAACTATTTTATGAGGTTGGAAATCATCAAGCCGTAAAGTAGTTCATACTAAAATGAGCATAAAACGATCATAACCTCATATGCTTGATTAAACATGATGTTTAACAAAAACAGACCTGATCTAGTAATTTATATTATAGGATAATTTAACGTGCATTGGCAGCAATTATAACCCTATATAGGATCAAAACAAAATTGGTTATATATCATGCCACTGAGCATTTCAAAACCAGATTTTTTTCCTTCTTTTCTTTTTTCTTTTAAAAATAAGAAGGGATGCATAGAAACACCCCATTGTAACTACATCACGAATGTATTTCACATTTACTGAGAAAATGTGTCCGAATAGGCAAATAATAAGGAATACGTAACCTTATTCTCAGGTAAAGTACCAGAATTTGAAATTTGATATGAAGCATTGAGTGTTCTGGATCTTGCCACGCTAAGAGTCTGTTTAGTTGCATGGCTTACATCTGAGCTATTGTCGACTAATGAACTTTTAGGATGCATAATTATATTTGAAGCAATTCTTTTACGAAGAAGCGTATGGTTTATGGCCGAGAGAGCTTGAAAACGCTGTTCTGGCAGTGAAGCAGAACGCAACTTGGAGAACGAGTCTTTAACCGTCCATTCTGACAAGTCATAAAAAAAAGCAAAAGAAAAAGATGACTTCTCCTGGCGAACTCGATTCTACTAATAAAATAGACCATATTGAAATCACATAAACTAACAAGAAAATTAATGTCTATGCTCGGAACTAATATAACAAGAATCTCTACACCTTGTTCTAATTGCATAAGCAACACTTTATCTTTCATAACCTAACAAATACCATTTTTTCAGGGAATTTGTAAAAGAATAGTGAATGTTTAATTGGGAAAAGATTTGTAATTTGAAACAAAATTAAATAAAAAAAAAAATCTTGAATAGTGAATCTCGTAAGCATCTAATCAAATTGAAAAGGTATAAACTATACAGGCCCATACTATACCAACTTAAGCAAATTTCAGCTTACCACAAACAGGTTTGCTCTATCGATGGATCACATTTTGAAATTCCACAAAAATCTCAGAAAGGTACCTGCTTGCGAGCTGAGGGTAAGGCTTGAAGAATTATCAGAGGAACAACTTGTTTCACTACTGTCATCTTCATAGCCTCGGTTTGTTTCGGAATCTGACGGCTTCATTGATGATAATTTTCCTTTAGAAACAGCGTACACACTACAAAAGGCTGGGCAGCATTCTGATATTTTTGAAGACAACATTTGTGCCCTGAGCAGTAAAGGAAGTAAATTCTCTCAATCAAAACTCCATTGTAGCTTTAATAAAATATACAACGCCGATCGAATAGCTGGAAATTGAAATCAAAATGAAAAAAAATACGTTCTTTATATACAGTATATAAAAAAAAAAATATGTTTATTAAGGTCCCCGATACGTTCTTTATATACAGTATATATACCAAATAGAAAAATCAAGATTTTTGATGTAGAGATTGGATTGATCATCTACGCACATTATTATAGGCACAACTTCTAATGAAAATGGATGGGAAAAAACTTTGAGAGAAAAAATGGAAATTCGGATGGCATCCATTATTCCCAAACCGTATTCGGTCATAAACAAAATATCCTTATTTACTGTCATTGAATCATGCAGCCGTGTTAATTTTAGGGATCCTTAGCAAACAGTTCAAAAATGAATATTACCTTTCAGTTAAATGAAAGAACTATTCAAAGTATTTTGAAATGCTGAATTTACTTTCTAGTTCTGAATAATTTGATCAGAACAAAAAACAAGTTGCTTCAGAATTCTTGCTTTGCACGTCTTACTATACACAAAATAAAGGCGCTTTAACAACATTTTTCACTGAACACCCTCTTTTAGCTTATATATATATCTTAGTTTCCGATTGTATAACTACTTTTCACTACTGCAAGAACAGTTCACTTTCCCAGTGTCAAATGCACTACAATTTAACAGAAACACTTTCCCATTTGTATAGAGAGCCATCTATAAATGTTTTTGAGTATTACCTTGAGAACATACTGCGAGACGAAGTACCAATAACAAGTTTATTGATTTTATGCTTTTGAATATAGCCAGATATTGCAGTTCCCACATCATCTGACTCTATTTGTACGATTTCCACTTGCACCTGCAAAATGAAAACAAGTAAGCACACCTTCATAATGAAAGCAAAGAAAAATTCCAGCCACATATATTTTTTCACCTTTCTTTGACTACACATTTTTTTGTAAGGAAGAAGTTTTTCAGTTATTTGAGTCTCCATCTCCTTTTTGAAAGCAGCTGCTATGTCATCTCGAACTTGAGAAATCGGAATGTAGTTTCCCACTGTAGCTAACAGAAAAATATGTAATCACCTCAGAAATAATAATTAATAACAGAACACGGATTTTCTTCTTTTTTTTTTAGTGCTCCGATGAGTTATATGAAAATCTTTACACAAATGGAATCTGTACAAATGTACAATATCCAATCTATGGATTTCTTAGATTAAAAACATAAATAAATAATAAATAAATGACTGAGTTAAACAATTTTTAGGGACAAGCTTACTAGGAGTTGGAATTCTCGAAATCACCGGATGGACGTGAACCAGCTTGAAATAAACGTAACCTTCCGGAACAAATTTTTCCAGTGCCCAACTGAGAACATATTTGCTTTTCTTACTTGCACTTATGCCCACTGCAGCCACTGCATGTACTGATGGGATTAGTTCATCGAGCCCTTCAATACTGTCGATATTTTTTCCGTTCATATTCATATCTCAAAAACCTGCAACATAATACAAGCTGAAACTCAATTCATCAGCAAAGTCTAACAGGAAAAATCTAACAATACATACTCAGCTTAATCATTCATTCAATAACAAAATTTCCCTGCTGCAACTTCATATGATTTGATCAAATACAAAGGAAGTTAAATTGAGTCAAAAGTCAGGGTCAGGTGACATGTAAAATCTTTACCAGGTGCCAAAAATATCAACACAACCCCTCTTCAAAGTTTCTTACAGCCTTAGGAATAAAAAAACAAGATTTACTGACAGTGCTTGAAAAACCATGACAATTTCTTACAACGTTATTTATTGAATTTGAAGTCATGGTTTCAAACAAACAACAATCACATACCCTATACACTCATGACACACAATGAAAGTTCCAATAGTTGACTTCATATTATAATCAATTTTAGGAAAACAAATATTGAGGTATATTTCAGACCCTCATTCGAATATTCCACAAAAATCCACCCTTCGCAAGTCAAACCCCAAAATCCAAAAACACAACCTTGAAGGATAACAATCTGAACCAAGAATCAGGACAGGAAGCGTACCTGGCTTTGATGTTTCAACGAGCGCTAAATCCTTACAAACCCATCATTATTTTCAAGCATTTGTCTGAGCCCAAGAACTTTTTACTTCAACAACTCTCAAGACAGAATTTTCTCGAGGAAATTAAGGAAAAAAGACTCAAAAGGAATTTGAATTTGTCGGCCGTGTGTTAAGCCCGACAATCATCACTGGAAAGTAGGTCAACAGTTTATCCACAAGCATCAAGCTTCCACATTTAAGAACCGAATCGTAGCACATTCGGCGCACCTTTGACTACACAATTATACTGTGTTTATTCACGAGTATTGATTTACACTATACGTCTTTTTTTCAAAAGTTCTTCGTTCGTACGTATATACACTATCACCAAAATGTATCATAGAGTTAATTACCAATTATGTTAATGTAGTCCGCCTAATATAGTTAAATTATATTCATCACATTGAATTATTCAAAAGTCGCAGATAATAAGGGTGTGTTTGTTAAATAATATACTCAAACCAAATTAATTCTACTCAAAATTTAACATAACTTTAACTTAACATCACTATCTTCAATGTTATTAATATAATTAAATAATAATAACCAATTATTTTTACACATCATATCAACTTTAATTCACTATTTATCCATTCACATAATTTTAACTAACCATCACATCATATCATCTCTCTCCTACTTTTTTTTTTCAAACGTCAATTATATTAATAACTAAAACCTCAAAGGAGTACAATCAAAGTGTCAAATGACACACTAGAACCAGAAAACTGGACCAACCCCCCTTGTCGATACACACAAAGAGATACAAACTCCATCAAGGAGGCGAACACCTACAAAACAAAACTTCATATAGGAGAGAAAAACAGACATAGTTGCACTAAAAGCAGACAAAGCTGCACTAAATGAAACAAAACAACAAAATAAAAATCAAAACAACACACACCTAATAAACAACATAATAAAATAAAACATCCCCTAAACCTAGTAGCTGAAACCCAAAACCACTTGAACCGTCTACCAAGTCACACCCCAACAAAAAAAAAAAAAACCATCCGAGCACCAAAACTAGGCTCCAAACCTGAAAACTGCGGTCACTCTACCGTCTAGACGAATTTTCGGGCCAAATCTGACCCCGAAGACCTTCACTGCCGGGAAAAAGAAGGAGAGCCATCACGAGCCCGCTGGATGACTAGAAGGGAGAGATCGAGGAGACGACATCCTGCAACCGAGTCACCCGGCCTGAAGGATCTGCAGCCCGGTTGAATAGGGGCGCACGAGACCGCGAGTTGGGCTCGCCCAAGCCAAAATCAGTCTCCAAGAAGAACATGGCTGCACAGATCGAGCCTCCAAACGGACCGACGAACTCCCGCGGCTGGGCCTTGCAAGAGTGGCCGACGACCTCGCCGGAGGCGGGGGCATAAACTGGGGAGCGAAAATCGCCGCTGGCTAACCACACGCAATACTCCTAGAGGTAGAAAGGAAGCGCCCAGCCGCGACTTGGCCGGAACGGCCCAGTGCCCACAGGAGTCGCGCTGCCGGAAAAAGGGGGGCTGCGTTGGTTTTCTTTTTTTCCGCGGTAGAGAAAGAGGGAAATTAGGGATTTTTAGAGAGAGAATTTTTGTTCTCTCTCCTACTTTTACATCAACCAATTTTAATTATTTTATTTTCAATCTTATTTTAATATAAACTTAAAATATCACTAACAACTAATTACATCACTTTTTCTAAATTAATCCTAATTAACTCAAAAAAATTCACTTTGAGTTAATTCACTCAAATTATTCCTTTAACAAACACACCCTAAGAATCTCCTATGAATTGAATATTTAAAGAAAATGTCAAAAAAATTCACTTTGAGTTAATTCACTCAAATTATTCCTTTAACAAACACACCCTTAAGAATCTCCTATAGATATTTAAAGAAAATGTTTCTTTTTGGAGTGCGATGTTTTTGGCCCCTTTTGAATGGAGAGGAATTAATGTAGTTAATATCTAAACAATAATAGTTTTCTTCTAGCGTTACTAGCGGAACTCTAGGCGGTCTTCTGACCTGTCCTCCCACTTTTTCAGTTGTTGACTGTTGTATATTCAGTCGTTGGTTGTTGTGTATTCGCACATTTGTGCATTTTGATTTATAATATAATCTATCGTTTTGAAAAAAAAAAAAATAACAATAATAGTTTTCTGTGAGGTAATAAGATTTTTAATTAGGATGACATGCTTGACCATTCTAAGCGATTATAAGAAGTATGTATTTTATAAAAGTATAATTAGACAATTTTAAGCAATTATTATTGTGATTCATATAAGAATTTGTGATAATATAATGTGGTAATAAATCATTACATGTGTGATAGAGCATCTTTTTGTTTATCCACTTGAACGAAGCCGACAAAGTAGACCAAGTCCAACTCCAACAATTTTAGCTGGTGAATCTCCAATTATTTTCCTCAATTTCATTCAAGTATTGTCGTTTTTTTATTAGTATCATTTAATTATATGGCAAAATTTCATTTAATTATCATCACCACATACAATACTGTGAATCATATTCCAATTTGAAATAGTTATATCGAGAACCTTAAAAATAAGGTTGTTATTGATTGATAATTAATATATTCATCAAATTCATATACAAAAGTACATTAGTGCAAGTAAATTTTACAAATCTATATCTATATCTATATTTATATAAAAAAGTTGTTGGAAAAATACATTAATATAAAGTTTGACTAAATAAATATAATGTTTGACTTACTATTAATGGAAAGTTCAAAAAAACACATGTGAATCTTTAGTAAGAAATCTAAATCATATTTTTTTTTGTAACGAATTTGGAGATTCTTATGGCAAAATTTGAATCCCATTTCTTTCGTATTATATTTTATTTTTTTATCACAATTTAAATCATATTTTTTTTGCAACAAATTTGAAGATTCTTATGCAAAAAAAATATGTCAGTTATTTAGGAAAATAATTCTAAATACAAATTAATTTAAAAACCGTGCAAATTGGATACAAATTTAGGAAGTGCCCTATGGTCGTTGTAGTATAGTGGTGAGTATTTCTGCCTGTCACGCAGGCGACCCGGGTTCAATCCCCGGCAACGGCGCCAATTTGTTGTAAATATTTTTCCGGAGTGGAATCGAAAGATTCGAACACCGGGTCATGTCTCACGAGGAAGTTTAGCCGGAATATTCTGTACGTTTATTCAAGCACTAATAAAAGAAATAAAATTCCTAAACATTCTAAATCAAAGATTGGTTTTGGTTTAATTATCAACTATTGCGAAAATTCAAATTAAGCAATAAAAAAAATAGCAAGTAACGAAGAACAATTAGGATTTGAGAAGCTAGGGAGTCGGGGAGATCCGTTTTGGTTCGAATTACAATTAATGGGCAAGTGATTGTTCAGCCAAGTGATCTGAATAATCAACACGTTCAAGTACTCATTCTCAATAACTTTTCGTAACAAGAGAACAAACTAGAACGGCAAACTAACAATTCATTTAACTCCTAGGCAATACAGTTACGAACAAGCCTAGTTCATACGACACTATTTCGACCGACTCCTCCCCTTTCGGTTCTAAGAGTCGATTAAAGTAGACTAGAGGGTGGTTAACTGACTAATCAAATCGATTCACCAATTTCAAGCACGAATAAATCAAATTCAAGTGAAACAATTGTAAGTTGAAGTGTCACCCTTCAACAATTATCAATACTCAAGCCTGACAGTTGAAAAACCCTTTAAAAAGATCAACTCGCATGAAAAGAACTATCAACGAACGCCCACAATCCTAATCGAAATCAAAATATCAATCCCCTATCCCTAGCATATGAATTTAGCTACTCATGCTCGATTCAACATCAATAATAATCTCAATCAAAGAATTCATATTTAACAATAAAGTTAAAAGAGAAATCATACGATTGATAAATTCCAAGGTTGAATATGGTAAACAAGCTTGAATCCGAAAGCAATACTGAAATCCAAGTTTAAATCCCTGATGTATTGACAGGGAACCAATCCGGCCAAAGTCAAGACCAGTTCGGGTGGATCATTTGGATCACGAACAAAGTACCCGACTGAAACTTGGTCGACTTGGGTGGGTCCTTTGGTCGGTCAACTCGATTTTACTTTACCATTATTTATATATGTTTTGTTTTTGTAAAATTTTGTATTTTTTTAAATTATGAATATATATATATATATGAATATATATATATATATATATATATGTCTCCTCTTGAAATTAAACTAATTTACACGACATTATTATTTACTAGATAGGATATCCATCAAAATCTCTCTCGCTCCCAAAATCGCCGAAACCCTAGCCTATTAATCTCGCCGTTTGAAACTCCCTCGCCAGAAGTCCGAGTCCAACGGTGGACGGCCTCCATCGCTCGTCCATGGCGGCGCAACCCTCGTCTCAATTGCTGCCGTTGGGATCGGTTCTGCACGTCGGCCGTCGGAGAGGATTCTCTGCTCTGGTTGCGCGCCGGAGTTCAGATGTCGTCGGGGTGTGGTGCTGGTCCATGGACGAGGCTGGGTTAGCTGCTTTTGGTTCTGGCTGGGACGCGCCTATTCTTCTTGCTCGCCTTTCTTGCCACCGGTCACGACCTATGCTTTTCCACCGGCGAAGTAGCGATTGGCCGGGGCCGCTTCCTGTTCGGCATCTTGCTATGTCGATCGGAGGTTTGCCCTTGTTTCTGCTGCTTTTGTCTCAGTTTTTATTTTTGTCCGCGATCGGAGGGACTTTTCGTTCCTTCCTTGGCAAATTGGAATTGGAGGCTCACGATTGGGGGGTCATAGTTCTGCTGGGATTGGTTGCCGGTTCTGGTTTGTATTCGGCTGTTTAGTTTGTGTTCAACCGCTTCGGGCTGGGATGAATGGTGTGCTGTTTCAGGCGAGCTGACTCGGTGAAGCCGAGCCGTGAAGGTTTCTTCACGTGATTGGAATGCGGGCCAGATCTTCGATTAGTTCAGGGGTGCGGGTACCCGTCTTGCTAGGCTTTTCGCAGTGGCGGGCGGTTGTTTTCGCGCTCGGGAGCCGTCGTTGGGGTTGGTTGTCTGCCGTCAATCTCGATTTATCTGGCGGGGGAGGCTGTTTGCTTATGTTTGTGTTTTGCTTTATTTACTCTTAGGTTTGTGTTTTAGTTTTTTTAGGATTGTGTTTTTGGTTTGGGCCGTTTGGCCTCTGTGAACCTGAGTGTCACCTTATTATCCCAATGGGATCAGACACTCGGGTATTACCCTAGTGGGGTCTTTTTAGTTGTTCTAGTGGTTTGTGATGTTTGTTAGCGTAGTTGTGAGTGTTTTTATTCTAGCATTGCTAGCCGGGATTCTATGCGGTCTTCTGACCTGTCCTCCCACTTTTTCAGCTGTTGGCTGCTGTGTATTCAGCCGTTGGTTGCTGTGTATTCGCACATTTGTGCATTTTGATTTATAATATTATCTGTCGTTTTGAAAAAAATAAATAAAAAGAATATATATATATATATATTCTTTTTATTTTTTTTCCAAAACGACAGATATATATATTCTTTTTATTTTTTTTCCAAAACGACAGATAATATTATAAAATTGGATGAATACTATTAAAATATAAAATTGGATATTAATATTTAAAACTACTTTATACTAATACAGTAATCTATATATATTTAAAAAGAGATGTCAATAAATCATTTGTGGAAACTTTTAAAAAATTGGTCAACAAATGCTTTGACTTCCCATTTGTCGAAACTATGTCAAAAATCCAAAAAGTATTTTTCTTTCTCTTGATTTTCTTTTTAGTTTAAATTATTCTTAATAGGAAGTTGTTATGGTAATTTGTTACAATACTTATCTCAATACATTTAAAGCATTTCAAAAAACCAGTTTTAAAAATCCGCAAATCAAGAGAAAAAACCTCCTTATTTTTCGGAAAGAATGACTGAAAATAAAACAACCGGATAGCATGCAAATCAATTGAAATGGCGAATCTCCTAAAATCAATCGAAATTTTGGGAATCTCCTAAAATAAAGGAAATGGCGAATCAATTGAAATACAAATTGTAATAGCCTAAAATAAATGAATTGGTTTAAGAACAATATATATTTCTTACGCACAACATGCATTGCTAATTGAAATATAAATTGTAATAGCCTAAAATAAAAGAATCTCCATAATACAGTCCCATATAAAAATTTGATTTTTTTTTTTATTTTTTTTAATCCAATCAGCCTACAAATTTGATATGTAATTGAAATACAAACAAATTGAAATCACCTGAAATAAAAGAATTGATTTATTCCTCCCTAATACAATTTCATATCAAAATGCGATTTTTTCTTTTCTTTTCTTTCTTGACATACAATCACATAAGCCTACAAATTTGAATTTTTTTTTAAATAGAAATTGAAATCGGATACATCCTAAAATAAATGAATTTGATACGGGATCCTCCATAACACAATCCCATTTCATAATACAACTAATTTCAGACTTTGTTTTTTTTTTACATAAAACCGATTCCACCGACTCAGTGTCGAATTGAAATCGGATTCCACCTACAAATTTGGAATCTAATTTTAAATACACATTGAAATCAGATATCCTAAAATAAAGGAATTGGGTTATTCATCCAAAATACAAATCCATATCAAAATACGATGGGATAGGAATTTCAAATCAATTACAATTCATCTCTTTCCACAATATATGGAATAGGAATTTCAAATCAACTACAATTCATGTCTTTCCACAACATTTTATTCTAAAAATCAAATTTAAATGGATTTAAACTCGAGATTTTGTTTCAAACTCGAGATAATGTGTACGTAAATAGATTGATTATTTCTTTATTTACAAAAGTCTACATTGGACAAATTTCTACAAGATTTTTTTACCGATTTTAAACTCTTTTTTAACAACAATATATATATCTTACGATCAACATGCATTTACCGTATTACAAACTCATATCTTAAAAGAAAAAGAATCACATTCTCTGCAATGGATCAATCATTTGGGTTAATCAAAGATGTTGATAGGAACAAGGGACCTATGCTTAAAGTTCGAATTCTGAGAAAGTTTTTTCAAGATAAGGGCAACACATACAAGTCACATCTCGAGTTTATTTTGCATGATAAAACTGTAAGCGATATGGTTTCAAATTATTTTTTCATTAAAAAAAATAAGCATATGTTCAAATTTAGTATTTACATACCATATTAATTATTTTTCAATTTGTTGTTTCAAATTATTTGTCAAGGGAAATCGGATTACGGCGTGGCTACGGGTAGTCTATTTGCCGGCGTTTAGAGAGGGGAATCTTGAAGAGGGTATGATCATTGCTATACGAAACTATCAAGTTGAAAGCAACATTGGTATTTATCGATCTGTAGCCGGCAAGTTTAAGATAATATTGCATGGGAGCACTATATTTTTGAAGTGCAAAGAAACTTTTCCTACGTTTCGATTTCAATTCAGAGACTTTGCAACTCTACAAGATGTCAATAAAATTGATGAATCAATTTTATTCGGCAATATTATTTTATTATGTTTCTAATATTATTTGATGTATTTGAATAATTGATTATTTAAAAGGGGTGGAAGATATTAGTTTGTGAGAATGACGAGTTGCCGAATAATTAAACTCATAATGTTGTGTACAAAGAGGTCTTTAATAATATAAGATTTTTTCTCTGTCGAATACTATCTTATTGTACAATTTTCCTACATATTATAAAACTTTTATTTAATTATGTATCTTAAAATATAATATTTCCCAAATAAATATAGCATGTGCATCGCACGTAGGGCTGCAAACGAGCCGAGCCGAGTCGAGCATTGGCCTTCTCGAGCAGGATTGAATTTTTTTTTTGACCTGCCCGAGCTCGACTCGATAAGAAAATACACGAGCTCGAGCTCGACTCGAATTCAAAATGCTCGACTCGACTCGAGTTCGGTTAAAAAATTTTCAAATAATTTTGTCAAATTATATATATAGGAGGGGTATTTTAGTAATTTACCATATATCTCGAGCCGCTCGACAATGTAAAATTTGAGCTCGAGCTCGACTCGAGTTCGGTCAAACTCAAGCTCGAGCCGAGCTTTGACTCGAGCGCTTGCGAGCGGCTCGTGAGCCGCTCGACTCGTGTGCAGCCCTAATCGCACGGGTCACGTACTAACACTAATCAATAAAAGGCTCGGATTAACTCGTCTTGTTTGGTTTTGCCCTAATTATGCCACATTCACAACCTTGAACGTATTGCGATGGCACCGCGGTGGTGGGCTGGAAAAAAGCCGACGGAAGACGAGCAAGTGCGTCAAATTGCTTCAATTCGCCATGAAAGTGATTTGGTCGATAATGGCTTTTGCTTTGGAATATCCGAAAACAGCTTTCATTTGGTCTTGAAAGCCATAATGCTGAAACCCCGGAATCAACTGGTAATACATACATAACTGTTTGTTTGCATTTCCCCCATTTCATCTGCGTCCCGTATTCTTAATTTACATTTCTTTTCAGTTATGGGAAACAAGGCGTTGGTTGCTTCAAGCGTATGGGCGTAGTAGGAAGCTCGAATTGGATATTTTAGGGCCTTGGACGGTGAGGCTGGTGCTATTCTCAAAAAATGGCATGACATATGGTAATAAGCTAATATCAGTTTTCCCCTCAGAATGCTGTTTTCTTTGATTGAAATTTCAGTGCCTTTATCTGACAAAGTATCGAAATTAGGATGTGCGTTGGGAATCTGTACTGCAAAAATTATTCTTAGCTTTTTATTGATGCCGCCGTGATTGTATCACTCATTGTAAAATGTTGTGGGGGTTTGTTGCTTCATTTATTCAGGTTCCATAGATTTTGGCTTACTAAGGCAATTGGGCCTGAAGCTACAAAGCAGGAGTTTGACTCTATAAAGAATTTTGTGGTAACCAACCCTGATGATTCTCGTTTGTGGTACATCTTCATTGATATTGTCCAGCAGTTTAGACTTCCCGATTTGGGTGGCGAATTTAAATTTGTAGACAACTTCCTAACTAATCATCCGATGGCTTGTGGTGCATGGGCTTACAGAAAATTGCTTGTTCAGAGTCCGTTTACGAATAAGCTTGAAGCTCTGAAGTTCACAGATGGCATTTTACTTGGTAATGTGAATAATTTGGATGCATGGATCCACAGAAATGATATTTGTGATATGCTTGATCTTAATGAAAAAACAAGGAACTTGAGGACATGAAGAATGTTTATGCTCACAAGGATTACAGGACGTGTAAACATTTTTGGTACTCCAGAAGGTTCATTGCTGCGTCCTTCCCCAAGGAGCTTAGAACCAATCTTGCAAATTTGGAGCTTCAGTTTTCTCGTGAAGTTTTGTTGTTCGACATCAAAAACTACTACGCCTGGTTCCATAGGCGATGGGTTTTTAAAATACTCGGGACTATCGATAAAGATGATGAATTGAAGTTGACAAGACACATTGTTGAGAAGGATGTAAATAACAGATGCGCCTGGTTTCATAGAAAGGTATGCCTGAATTTGCCATTTTTGTTGCGCAAGAATAACTTTTTTGGACATTTTTTTTTTTATTCTGTCCAAGATTTCCTTTTTAAGAATTTTTCTATTCAGTGGCTAATTAAGGAATTTGGAGGATCAGATGATGAGCTTGAGTTTTGTAACGTGATCCTTCAAAAAGACGTTTCTTGTGCCTTGGCTTGGCATCAGGTACTTGTGGCCATTAATCGGGGCTTCACTAAGTAGAAACTTTACTGCTGTCTATTTTTTTTACCCTAATTCTTCTTGTAATGCTTTTTTTTCTGTAGAGAGCCTTTCTTGTTTTGGAGTATGCTGAAAATCTTTCTGACGAGATGTGGGAGGCAGAGGTAAAATATGCCACAAGAGCCATTTCTCGAGACCCCGAGAATGAGTTCGCTTGGAAGTATTTAGTGCTGTTGTGCGCACCATGCGTCTATTATGACTCCATGATAGATGAAGTTTTTTCTCTCTTTTATCGCCAATCATGAATGCGATTAATCGGCGCGTCAAGGATAAAAGCAGTCTTTTTGTCAATGTTCTTGGCACACTTCTAGAACTTTTATGCTGCGGTTTACGACCAAGCCAATGCATTCGTGACATGATAACTAAACTATGCTCGAAAGCTTCGGGAATGATGACGTCATCGGGTTTAAAGGTCTCTATTTGTGACTTTATCAACATCATTAGTACTATATTGGTATATGTCGATCCCACAAAAGCTCATTTTTGGGAATGTCTAAAGTCGGAAATGATAACCAATTATGAAAAGTATGCTCTAGTGGAAGTGTAGAACAACTTGGGCAGAAGGGGGTTGAAAATCAATCATTTTGATGCTTGTTATGTATTTAATGAAATTGGGATTTGTGTTGTTAGGAACAATGGTTTTATTGTATTTGATAATATATTTGTCGACGGCCTGCATGTTTGGAGATTATTTTGTGTTGGTCGAATATGCAATGGACTGCGCTTGTACATTTTCACCACTGCTAATTGCTGCCCCAATCGCCATTAATGATACTTGAAGTTCTTCTCAAATATGTCCTATTGTTTTGCCTTTTGTCTTTTTCCTTCTATTTTTCCTTTCTTGACAATTGTTCTTCCTATTTTTGGTCGCCGGAGAGAATGAAGATAAGTTCCTTTCTTGACAATTGTTCAGGCGTGCTTGTTTATGAAATATTTCATTCAAAATGAGTTATTTTAGTTAACTAGAGTTAATTTTGAAAAAAGTAGTATGGTTAATTGTTAGTGGGATTTTATTAATATATTAAAATAATATTTAAAATAAAATGATTATTAATGATTTGATGTAAAAGTAGGATATAAATGATTGGAAATGATAGGTAGTTAAATTATGTGAGTGGATGAATAGTGAACTAAAGTTGATGTGATATGTAAGAATGATTGTGCAGTTGAGTTAAAGTTGAATTAGATTTTGAGTGTGAAATGAATTATTTCATAAAATAGTCACTTCACAAGAGAGAATGAAGATATGAGTGATTTGTTCAAGCTTAAATAGACATATTTATATATGTATTCTCTGAAATGAAGTATTATTTTTCTTTTTTTTTTTCTCCAAAAAAATGTAGCTAATTAGCTATAGAAACGTGGGATCAAATCGGCCAGCTCTGCTGGGTCCACAATTAAGCGAAATTCCTCATAATTTAACTTTGATTTTCGGCGTAAAGTGTTGACTATTTCTTGTGATTTTTATTTTTTAATATACAAAACCATATTATTTATTTGATGTTATTTATTCTTTTGCAAATTTAAAAATGTTGAACAGGATTCATTATACAGCCGTGGAAATTGAAGTTCAATGACGTAAAACTTGAATTTAACATTTCAGAATTTTAAGTTCAATAAATAAAAATAATCACCTTATATATAATTTTTGAATGTCCTAATTTTGAATGAAAAATTCACACGCTTCATAATCGTATTGTGTTTTAATATAATTTTTTATTTCGTAAGTGGTTTATAAGGCATTAATTTTTTTCAATCTTTCTCTTTTTTCCCCTCTTTCTTTTTAAAATTATAAATTAAAAATTAATAACTTAAATTATAAATTTATTTTTATAATTAACAACTTTTGTTACTAACTTAAATTATAAATTTTATAACTTAAATTATAACTTTTATAATTTAAGTTAACAATTCAGGCTATATTTGGTAGCCAAAATATTAAAGATGATATAGGATATATTTTATTCAAATTATTTTTTAATATAAAAGTAGTGTATGAATTAATGATCAGTTTAATATAGTGATTCGATATAATAAATTAATAAAATAATAATTAACAGTAATGTAAGTGGATGAAGTATATATAACATTATAATGAAAAATGTGATTTTAATAAAATCAAGATTAATGATAAATATTTATTGATGGGAGATATAATAATTTAGAAAATATATTTAGTTTTACTATAAAAATATAGGAAAATACTACGGTCTCGTTACGGAACCATTCCGTCAGGGTTTGTAACCGTTAGATTATCATGTAACCGTCAGAGATAGTTAATTTAACGGTTACAAATCCCAACGAAATGGTTCGGTAACGACATCGTATCATCTCCCAAAAATATAAATAGCCAGTTGTCCTTTTTTCTAGAAAAGAAATAAGATAATTTAAATAAATTCAATAACCACGTGATGAAATTCCCCCTGTTTTAGTGGGATATGTGCAGTGCACCAAGTTGATTTTGGAGACTATAAAATTGGCAAGAAAAGTCTTGTGAAGGATAGATTATTGCGAACACCAACCAACAATATGTCAATATGCCATGTTATACTTTATAAAAAAAAAAAGATATTAAAAATACTTTATAAATTGTACACGATGAAATCTATTAAAAATATTTCTTTCATTACTTGGTTTAATGGACATGATGGGCCCATTAGAACACGATCAACCACTTTTATAGTTCTGCTTATGCAATTGTTTCTATCNTTTATTTTTGTGTTGATATTTAAATTATAGGACTGTTGGCCGTCGGTTTTTCCAACAAGACTATGAAGCGATAATAGGATATATTGAGATTGACATTTGATATTTGAGAAAAGGCCGAAAAATAAATTAAGACAATAAGAAAATCGATAAATTACTTCCGTTAATACGCTTATATCAAAATTTAGTACATAGGACTATCGAAGACGATCGATCTATAGTATATTTCTTGATGATTTCTTGATCATTTTTCCATGAATTTCTTCAAGCGTCAGAGGTGGCTATTTATAGACAAGGAGAAGCAGTAAATAGTATTATCTACAGGACACGCTGCCGGATTGGGGCTGTCATCCACATGCAAGACGACACGTGTCGAATATAATTGGTTAACTAGGTGGTGGAACTGTTTACACGTGTCGAATATAATTGGCTGCCATTTTGTTTTCCTTATCTGACAATTGTTCCTCCTATTTTTGGTCGCTGCACAAGAGAGAGTGAAGAGGAGTGATTTGATCAGGCTTAAATTGGACTTTTATTTTATATATAGGGAGAGAGATTTTAGATTTATTTGAAATGAAGCTACTAAAATAGATAAAAGTAGATTTAGAAAACGTGGAATCAAATCGGACGGCGGTTTTTGGCCCCACAATTAAACGAAATTTCTCACAAATAAACTTTGAATTTCGCCGTAGAGTGCCGTCTCTTCACTCTTCTGAGTTTTTCTATTGCAAAATATATGGCGTCACGTAATTACTTACATGGAAACGGTTTGTTAGCTTCGTAGAAGCAACTGAAATTGAACGTTTTAAAATATAAATCCCATAAATAAAAAGGCAATAGAAAATTATGGAGCCCAATGATTGTATTTCTTTTCCTTATCCCTTTTTTTTGACGGCGTCCCCTTTTTCTCTGTTTAAAGAAAATTGTTCGAGGCTGCCGTGAAAATATAGATATTCTAGGAATTCTCTTATATGCCTTTTATTTACGTGATAGCAAATATTCTTTGAGATTGTGATTGCCATTTTATTTTCTTAAATATCTATTTAAAGAAAATTTCATTTCTTAAACTACTGTTAAATTATTTGAACTTTAAAAATTTTGAAACAAAAAATTATACATTCCCCAACTTTACATTATTTTCACATTTGATACACCAAGTTTTATTTTATTATTTTTCTATGTTCAAAGTTTTGTACGTTAATAATTTTTTGTCGACACTATCAAGTATTCTGTCAATAATTTCTTCAAAAACCACCGAAATTGAAGACTATATGAACTCAGAACATCAAATTATGTATTGTAGTCCATAAAAAGAGAAACAAAAAGATAGTTTACCCATTAAATTTTGGACAACCGAGTTACGAAATCATCAAAACATCAAATTTGGGCATTCTAGTTCATAAGAAAAAAAAAAGAACTTAGCTGTCAAGGGTGTGTTTGCATATGAAAAAATTCAATCTATATTAAATTCATACTCAAAATTTAACTCAACTTTAATCCAACTCCACTATCATTAATATTATCAATATAATTAAATAATGTCTACCAATCATTTTAAACATCACATCAACTTTAATTTAATATTCATCCTCTCGCATAATTTTAATTAATTGTCACTTCACACTATCTTCTCTCACATAATTTTAATTAATTGTCACTTCACACTATCTTGCTCCTATTTTTATATCAAATCAATTTTATTTATTTTATTTTAAATATTATTTTAAAATAAAATCTAAATTCTATTAATAATTAATTATAACATATTTTTTTTAAATTAACTCTAATTAATTAAAAAATAATAATTTTGAGCATGTTTATTTGTATACAAGCTCTAAATTTTGGACAATGATTTGAAACATTTGGCCCGAGGTACACGACCCAAAGGATAATATCGATTATTCCGTTTTTGGGATGCACAAAACGGTCAGATAAACAGAATAAACAAAAATATATGTATGTCAAATTGTCATTTAAATGTGAAGTGGGTCACATTCGCAGCCCAACTTGACGGGCTATTGGCCTCGAGTCTCGACGTGCAATGTATCTAAGCTTTGGCGGCAACCTGACAATTAGTTTTTTTATTTTTTTTTATATATTATATATATAAGAAAATGTTTTGGATAAAACTTGAGAATTGATCATGCCAAGTGTCTCTTTTTGTTGCTTTTATTAAAACAGTTCCTTTTTTTTAATTAATTTTCCGATTATTAGTTTAAGATTTGCAGACAGGGTGGCGGATCTAGGATTTTTTTTAAGGAGACTAGATTTGTTATTTGAAAAGAATGATTTACTATTATAATTCGAATTGACATGTGAAAACTTGAGCAATTAATTGAATGTCCTTATTAAATGAATCAACCTCAAGCTCGCATTTTTGTTCGTTTATTTAATAGTCAAATCAAGTCAACACATTTATTAAATAGACACAAGTTTGATCATGAGATATTTAAATTGACTCCAATAACACCTCTAGAAGGAACATAAAATATTTAATAAGAGAAATGTTATAGGTACATAATATTGTACATAGAGGTGCACATAACACACACATTAAGTGGGTTCTACCAAAAATAAAAAGAGAAATGCTACAAGTACATAATACTAGGGCGGGTATTTTTGGATTGAAAACCGAAAACCGAATCGAACCGATGAGAAAAAAACCGAACCGAACCGACTCACTTAAAACGATAACCGATTATCGGTTACCGATATGTTATTGGTACGGTATCGGTTCCGAAACCATAGAGGTTCGGTTTTACCGAACCGAACCGATAAAAAATTATACTTAATGTTAATAGTTAATAACTTAGTACTAATATTAATAACTTAATACTAATAATTAATAACATAATACTAATAACTAATAAGTAATAACTTATGTTACAATCTTGTGAATGCATAACAGAGCAAGCATCTTTTGGATATAATTACTAAGCAATATTCTAGACTTGAAAACCATCATAAGCAATATTCAAGAAATTCAACCGTTGCCGACATTCTGGACATTGGATGCCCTGTTC